GGAGTTGGACTAGAGGGAACATACCTCAACCTAATTAACAACAACCCACAGTCAACATCATTCTAAATGGAAAAAAACTGGAAGCATTCCCATTAAAATTAGGAACCAAGCTGGGTGTGGTGGCGCACGCCTTTAATCCCAGCACTCTGGAGGCAGAGGCAGGTGGATCTCTGTGAGTTCGTGAGTTCGAGCCCAGCTTGGTTTCCATAGTGAATCCAGGACAGCTGGGGGAGACCCTGTCTCAAAAAGACCAAAAAAAAAAAAAAGGAACCAAACAAGGATGTCCACTATCTCCAGTCCTTTACACTAATTGGAAGAGAAGAGGTTGAATTATACCTTTTTGCAGATGATATGACACAAAAATAGTTTGTGCTTCTCTTTTCACAATAGCTAAGAGATGGAAGCAACCTAAGTGCCCCTCAAGTGAAAAGTAGATAATGAAAATGTGGTACATTTACACTAGTAAAGAAAGATGAAGTCATGAAATTTGCAGGTAAATGGATGGAACTAGAAACTGTTATACTAAGTGAAGTCACACAGACTCAGAAAAACAAAGGAAATATGTTCTTTCTCATTTGTGGATCCTAACATCAAATCCTTATAAGTAAGTACATATCCTGATGTAACTGCAGGAACCAGGAAAATGGAAAGTAACCAGGGAGGTAAAGGGAAAGAAGGAACCCGAGAGAGAACAGTGGGAGGCAGGTATTACTAAGGGAGAAATGTGCAAAATGGGGTTATTTAAATGGGAGGGGGAGAAGGAGGGTTATACAAGGAACTATGGGGATGAAGAAGAAGAAGGAGCTCAAGAGAGGTGGGACCATAGCAGACAGGAATTGTCAAGGGAGAAATGAGGGAAATGGGGATACTTTAAATGGGGAGGGCATGGAGGGAGGGTTAAATAGGGAGAGAGGAAAGATAAATAATGCCTAGCTAGTACAAAAAACCAGAGGGAATCATATTAGTCCAAAAACCTACTGAAAAAATTACACATACACTATCCCTACGTGAGTCTGTGAGTATAGCTGAAGGCTATATAACAAGAAACAGTGCCAGACAGGAGAAACCTTCCTTTGAGTTGTTGGCCAGAGTAGTCCAAGAGACTCCCAAAATCACACAGGCTATTGCCATAGTCCATGATTGCCTCCCAGAACTTGATGGTAAGACCCTACTGCTGAAGACAGGACATACTTCAGACACAGGATTTGGAGCAATGGAGCTGGAACTGACCTGGAAGTCACTTCCTCTGAAGGCTAGCTCTCATAGCTTTGGAGAGCACTATGGAAGCTGTTAAGGGAGAACATTAATTGGTGGTCCAACCCCAGCTTCAAGGGCCAAATAACCACAACAATGTCCAATGTGGATTTCAAGGCCAAATAACTACAATAATGTCCAGCACAGCAAATGACATTGGTGCAGTAGTAGCACTTTTATCTTAGGGGCAATCAACAGCTAACTGGACCTAACGACTTAAAGCCCACTCAATGGGATGAAACTTCATGTGTGGTACTATAAATCTAACCAAATACATATAGCTGGAGAGGTCATAGATCTTAGAAAAAAAAAAAACCCGACTGTCACATCCCTAGGGAAATGTAATTTCTTACTATGTGCAAAATATGGATCCTTAAACTTACAGGCAAGTATCCCAGTCACCACCCATCAAAGAAGCTTCCTTTTTTAAACATTTTATTTATTATTTTTATGTGTATGCATGTATTGTCTGCACCCATGTCGTACAATGCCTGTGGAGGACAGAAGAGACCATCATCAGATCCCCTGGAACTGGAGTTATGGCCAAAACCCTAAGAATAAGAGTTGGGTCCTTGGGCAGGACTCCTGTATTAAAATCCACCCTCCCAGGCTCAGGGACCATTGCAGAAGAGGGAGTGGAAAGACTGTAAGAGCCAGGGAGGAAGTGCATGACCATATGGAAATAGTCCTACAGGCTCCTGGGACCCCTCTCATATGAACCTACAGCAATGGTGTCAGCATGCACAAGACCCATGCAAACTCAAGGAGACAAAAACCAGCACAGAACTGCAGAAATGGACTGCAGACCCCAATCTTAGCTGAAGAATTATTGGCATCTGATTACTGCTGGGTGAGGAAGAGCTGATCTTCTTTAAGGGAGGGACCTTAGATAGGCTGACTAGACTTTGGTGGATGAACTTGCACTGAGAGACATCTGGAGACACTAACTTGGCATGATAGGGCTTAACACAAATGACAGAATTATGAAATCCAGTGGGGGGCAGGCATGGGCAGGTGCCAAAGGGGAAAGCAGTATAAAGTTGATTAAGATGTTCTGTATGGGGCTGGAGAGATGGCTTAGCAGTTACGAGCACTGACTGTTCTTACAGAGGACACAGGTTTAGGTTTGATTCCCACCACCCACATGGTGATTAACAGCCATCTGTAACTCCAGTTCCAGGGGATCTGATGCCTTCTTCTGACCTCCAGGGGCATTGCACAACACAGATGCAGTTACACATATGCAGGCAGCACACTCATACACATAAAATAAAAATTATGTGATATGGTACCTTCTTGACCATACCTATGCCATTTTAAAGTTTAGGCTGACTCCAGGCTCTGAAATTATCAGACAATTGGCCCAGGTTATGGGAACACACGTCAGCTGGACCCCAGTTGTTTCGGGAACAGGTCAGTATTTTCCAGAGTATACCTGCTAACTGCAGATTTATGGCTTCTGTAGGTTATACTTGGCTTGCTTCTGCAAAATAATAATTGTTGCTTAATAGAATAAAAATTGTTAAGGGGACTTTGCACCTGTAAGTTTGGGAACTTAAACTTTTCACTCCTGGTTATGGTTTCTTTGTATAAAATGCTACCCCAGAGATGGCTCGGTGCTACACACTTGGGTTCCAAAACCCTAGTGTAGTTGCTGGCCAGCAATGACTTTCATTCAGCAAAACTCTAAGTGGAGTTCAAGGTCAGGTCTACATAGTGAGTTCCAGGCCAGCTGGGGCTACTGGGGAATCCTGTCTCAAATAAATAAATATAAAAATGTTCTGAATGAAATTCACAAAAATTCAATTAAAAAAAAGATAAATAAAATTATCTTAAAATTAAGACGTTAAATTTAAAAAATAAAAATGGAAGCTGGGTGTGGTGCCCATGCCTTTAGTCCCAACACTCCGGCAGGTGGATCTCTGTGAGTTCAAGGCCAGCCTGCTCTACACAGCAAGTTCCAAGCCAGCTGGGACTGCAGGGAGACCTTGTCTCAAAAAGACCAATAAGAAAACAAACAAAAAATAAAAAAAATAAAAAAAATAAAGCTATGAAGAGAGGTACAGATCACTGATAACCCTGGATCTAACTCCAAAGACAAGAGAGGAGAGGAGAGGGGAGAAGGGAGGAAAGAGGGAAGGGAAGAGAGAAAGAGGGAAGGGGCCCAAAGAGACAACTCCAGTGACCCCCCCCCAAGGCCTCCAGCACTGCTCTGAGGGCAGCAGCTCACTCCTGCGGAACTCCCTGAGAAAGGACAGAAAGCCAAACCAGCTTCAAATAGAAGGGCCCAACCAACAGGGCCTGTGGCAGCACCAACTGACTCTGTCCCTAGGATCACCCTGCCCAGCTGAAGTGCTGTCCCTGAGTCCCCATGCACAGTTGGGAAGGGGACACTGATGTCCTTTGCTCCAACCTTCCTTGACTTCATCTCCACATGCTGGCTCCACATTTAGAGGAGCACATACCTGTGGGTCATGGTGGTGACTGAGAGGGGCCAGAGCCATGGTGGGTGAGGCTTGCCTCCCATAAAGGTCCCAATGTCCCTCTCCAACATGTCCCTTGGGTTAATGGCTCTCCTTTTTCTTCCCACAACTCAGCCCATCTAGTTCCTGAGTGTGTAGGAAGAGGAAGGGACTTGAGGGGCGCCCGGTCACCCAAATTCATTATGCAAAGGAAATGGGCCCTAGAAATGAAGCCAAGGGCCAGAGAAGCCCATACCAATGCCCTCGGAAGCCAGAGAGCACCTGTGCAACTCACCCCAAGGCCCAGCATCCACAGACACAGAATCCTGACTGCCTCTAGCCTTAAGCTTTTTCCCAGCTACTGGGTTACTAGTGGGCTATTGAGGTAGGAATATCTTTGAGCATCTGCAGGAAAGCAGCATAATCAGGTTTAAACCAGGCTTCTTCCTGAGGACAGTGATTCACAAAGACATGGAACCCAAACCCTGGTCCTCACCCAAGCTATGCTTGCTTCCACCAACTGCCACTCAAGAAACAGAAGACTCCTTCCCAAAGCCCCCAACCCCACAGTTCTTCCTTTTATCTAACTGCCGCTCCTCCTGCTGCAAAAAGCAGGTTCCTCCAGATTATATGGTTATTGAGGTGTCTGTATTCCCAGGGTCTCACTGGTTCTAATACAACACACTTTGCAGAATGAGCCACCCATTCCATCTGTGCTGGATAGCTTTAGTGTCAACTTGACACACCTGGGTTGAGGGAGCTTCAGTTGGGAAATTGCTTCTATTGGACTGGCCTGTGGCCATGTCTGTGGGGCATCTTCTTGATGAGTGATGTGGGAAGGCCCAGCCCACTGTGGGTGGTGCCACCCCTGGGCAGGTGGGCCTGTATTGCATAAGAAAGCAGGTTGAGCAGGGGCCAGGGGAGCAAGCCAGTAAGCAGCGTTCCTCCATGACCTGTGCTCCAGCTCCTGCTTCCAGGTTCCTGCCCTGAGTTCCTACCTTGGGCTCCCTGATGAACTGCGACCCAGGAGATGTAAGCTGAATAAACCCTTTCCTCCCCAAGTTGGTAGTGGTCAGAGTGTTTTGTCATAGCAATGAAGAACAAACCAGGACACCATCCAAGATGTGGGGGTTGTGAGTGGGGGCAGCAGGGAGGCAATGTCTGGACAATGTGAAGCCAGGGTGCCACCTAGCGGCTCCCTCACCTCCACAGACTCAGACACCAGGCTGGAGTGTAGTCCCAGTCGCTCCACATGATGGTCCAAAGAGAGCAAGAACTCCCGTGTGCAGAAGTAGGACAGGCATTTGCTGCCTTGCTTTATTTACTCTTCCTTCACTCCCTTTTTGAGGATAAGAACATGACAGTTGTGGGGGATGGCCTGGCCCAACGCCACCAGGCCTGGATTAGAGCCTAGGGCTCCCACTCCACAGGGGTTCAGCCAGGGTAGCTATGAGCAAATTGAGGGTTGACCTTAAGGCTAGGATCCTTGGGGAGAGTGGGCAAGCAAGAGAGGGGCATGAGAGAGGGGAAGGGTTCAGTGCAGTGCCCAGGCTGCACCCACCCACCCACTGGTGTGGTCGCTATGAGGTGTACCCTGTGCTTAGCAAACACTCCAAGTGGCAGAATCCTGCCCTGATCTACAGTTTACACAGGAGGAAAGCCATGTGAGAAGGGTTAGAAAGGGACTTGATCCCTGGAGGCAGCTGCTTCCAAAGCTAACAGAACCTCAGTTAGTCCCTCTGGACCCCCAACTGGCAGCCCCAGTCCCGAGGGGTGCAGGCCATACTGTGGAGCTGGGGGCAGCCACCAGGGAGGAGGGACAGCTCTTTGGCTTCAGGATAAGAATGTACTCCCCAACAAGCTGTCCTCCAGGCCCTTGCACACAGGCACAAGTCAGTGCAGGCTCCACCCAGGGGCCTGATTATTTGCATACATTTGTATAAACAGCTCTGTAGAATCAACTCAGGCCTTATTCTAACAAATGTGGTATCAGTGCAGGGCTGGGTGCTTTTGCTGTCTTCTAGGAAATACATTGAAGGACACTAAAAGCCAAGAGAGGATCACATGATACTGGAGATCTTGAGCTGGATGCCATGCCTGGCAGGGGCAGGGCTCAGCCACGGTAGTGGTGGGCATGGCGGCTGTGCTCCTCCCTGGGTCCCACAACTCTAGGGCTCCGCAAGTGCTTGTCCTTCTTCCCTGACCTGGGGGAAGACAGGGATGGAGCAAGAAAAGGCCTTTAGGGGACAATACCATGAGCTAAGAAGGGGATCCTAAGAGGAGCCTGTTCCTCTGATGGAAGCCCCTCAAGCACCTATTGCCAAGCATGGTCTCCCAGGATGAAGGCGCCATCAGGAGAAGCAGGAAGGGCCATGCAGGTACAGAGTGGGAAAGAAGGGGGCCTCCTAACTCAAAAGGGGACCTCAGGACTACTGTGCCCCCTCAAGGGAAGGCAGGAGGCATAACTAGAGCCCTCCTCTAATGCTTGGGGTGTCAGAAGTAGAAAAAGGGTCTCTAAAGACCTCCATTCAGGGCCTCAGGGCCTTCAAACCCCTCCAGTTCCTTCCATAGGTCCCCTCTGACTGCCCACCTCTGCTTCAGTGCTTTGTCTCCAAAGAAGTGACTGAAGATGAAGTCCTCAAAGTCATCCACCTCATCATCATCACCCATCTGTCTCAGTGCCACCTCCTCTAAGCTGTCCTCTAGAGCGTCCACAAAATCGCGGAAGCGGAGGCGGTCATGTCTGAAGATGCCATCCTCTCCAAAGTAAGAACGTGAGAGGGGCAGCTCCTTGGTCAGCTGCCCAGCCCAGGGAAGCCGTGCCAAGTATGTTCTCAGCAGAGAAGCCAGTTCCTGTTGTTGTACAGGGGCCAGCTCCATGCCAAAGAAGGCCAGGCCCTCCTGCCGGGCACACTCATCCACACCAGAGCAGCCCTGGGGAGCCCGGTACTTGCGCCTCAGCAGCTTCTCCCAGGAGGGCAGAGAATCATGCTGGTCAGTAGCCACCTCTCTCCCCCGAGAACGCTTCTGCCTCTCTCCAGAGTGGGGGTTCCCACTTTTCCTAGGGGGTACCTTGAGGTCTTGTTGCTTGCTATCCTTTCTGTTCCCCCATTCTCCTGTCTGTGCCTTGCCCTCCTTCCATGTCCCTGCCAGTTCCTTGTCCTCATCCCTCCAGCTCTTCTTCCTCTCCCAGCCAGATTCCTCCTTCCTATGCTTCCAGTGCTCAACCTTCTGGTTCCTCTGCCCATCTCGCCACTTCTCCTTTTCACTCCACTCCCTGGAATTCTGGAAGTGGGGCTTTTGATGCCAGGCCTCTGAGGCATTGGCAGCAATGCCAGAGTCCTGGCCCCAGATCTCTAGGCCCTGCAGTGTCTGGGCCAACCTATGACCAAGCTCAGCCAGGCCAGCAAGCGCAGGCGCTCCTTGGCCAGCATCCTGCAAGCCCCTCTGCAAGTCCTGTTGCACAGATCCCAGCAGGCGCCGCTGCCTCTGTAGCTCCTGCCTTAGGGCCTGGGCCTCAGCCTCCAGCTGCTTTTGCTGCTCCAGTAAGCTGGGGTCTGGCTCCTGGCTCCTGTGGCCTTGCTCCATGGTGGCCTTGTCACCCTGTGGACCTCTGCCCCAGGTGAGACACACCCCATCTGTGCCCCGGACACAGTCAGCCTCTAGCCCCTGGAGCCGGGCTCTCAGCTGCTGCAGCTCTGACTCCAGGGCCCGCTGGGATGTCTCACCCTGCTGCAGGGCTTTACGGAGCTGGGTATTCTCCTCCTCCAGCCCTTTGGGCTGGTGTATCAAGCTCTGAAGCTCTTCTTTCTGGGCCTAGGAATATAAGAAACCAAGAATCCTTGTCAGGATAGGCCCAATACCCCTACCCCAATTCTATTCCATTGGAGTGGGCAGAGGCTGGAGACTTTGTTGGTAGAGAGCTTGCCTAGCATATGCAAGCCCTGGGTTTGAGCCCCAGCACTACCTGGGATACCCAGATTTGGTTCTCCTCCTCCTTACCCCCCATCTGAACCAGTACCTGGGATGGCCAGATACTGGCCCCAGCAGCTATGTCCTTACATAAACACACACTTTTTTATTTAATTAATTAATTTATTTTTTGGTCTTTTTGAAACAGGGTCTCCTTGTAACCACAGTTGTCCTGGAACTCCCTATGGAGACCAAGCTGGCCTCAATCTCAGAGATCCACCTGCCTCCGCAGTGCTGAGATTAAAGGCATGCACCACAACACCTGGCTTAAACACACGCACTTTTTAGATCCACCTAATCATAACCATTATGTGGCTCGCCTAGTCCCACTTCTACATCTGGTATCCATAACAGACAGTGTTCATTGATCCCAGCACTTGGCATGAGCCTTGGCATGTTCTTCAAATGCTCTAGGAAGATCATATCAACCCATCAGAGGTGATGCTGTATAAGACAGGTATTCCAGCCCTGGCATAGCTCTTAGCATGAAGGAGGTGGATGGAGAATGAGGAAGATGCCCTGACTATGGCAGGAAAGGGTGAAGTTCAAGGGGCAGGTGAATAGGGAAAACTCCATAAGACATACACCTTGGGGGTGTGGGGGGGGGGCTGGAGAGATGGCTAAGTAGTTAAGCGCACTTATTACTCTTGCAGAGGACCCAGGTTCAGTTCCCAGTACCCACATGGTGGCTCACAACCACCTGTACCAGGGGATCCGATGGACCTCTCAGGTTCCTGTGCACATGTGGTACACATAAACTCATGCAGGCTCACACATATGCACAAATAAAAAAATGAATCTTTTAAGACATACACCTGGTAAGGTGGTCAGCCAAGCCTCCCTCTCCCCGCACTGGGGCCCACCTGCAGCTGGGCCTGTAGGAGACGGATGTCCTGGTTCTCCTTGGCCAGCTTATCCAACAGAAGGCCCATGCTCTGTAGACTGGGGATACTGTCGGGGGGCACCGAAGCCTGAAGCTGCTCCTTTACCGCATCCTAAGAGCAAAAGAGCCAGCTACCTCATACTCCCCTACAGCCAGGACAACCCAGCTTCTTCCCCACCAGGCCCCACACATCTATGGAGACACCACACATACCTGCCTGTTCCCCACAGCATCCACCATCTCAGTCTCTGACCCAGTATCTGGGTAGACCTGCAGCTCTGCTTCCTCTATGGGCCCTGTGAGTAAGTGAGGCCCTGAACCCTGGCCCAAGACCCACAGAGCCCATCCTCCACTTCCCAGTCACCCCTCCATCCCTGGACACAGAGGCCCATAGAGTTAAAGGGCCGAACGTCACCCTGAACAGCTGACAAAGTCAACAACTGAGAAACAATATGCAACCCCAAATATATCTACTCCCGACCCCAAAAGCCACTCGTCACACATACTTTCACAACCACCCCCACACAGAGGCCAAGACCTCTCCCCACTCACCAGCCTCTGGTTCCAACAGAGCACCTGAGGGTGTAGTCTGATAAGACCCTCAGAGGAACAGGGAAAGGTTAAGGGCAGGCCAGAGCAAGAGGGAGGCCCCAGCCAGAAGTACCACTCACCAGAGAACAGAAGGATCCCCAGGCCCAGCAGAATGAGGGCCCCTAAGAGGCACATGTTGAGGGAGATCCCCAGCTCTCCGATCACACCCTCGCCCTTCTCCTGTTCATCCATAGCCACAGGTGTTATGGATTGGGGTAGGCTGGGCTCTCGGCCCCGCCGTCTCCGCAAACCCTCCACATCAACATCGGTGTCATCTTCACTGCTAGAGCAGCGGCCTTCTTCCCTGATACAAACTGTGGAAAAGGAAGAGGACAAGGCAACAAGGCAACTAGAGACAGGGCACAGAAAGAGAAAGGACGGGGAGGGCACAAGAAAACACCAGTCCTGACCACAGAGTACACGAAGACCCTGTTCCTTAGGCCTGGGCACTAATTGACTGTCCCTGTCCAGTCTGGAGGCAAAAGACCTGCCCTTTCATCTGCAAACAGCAAGAGCTTCTTCCATCCTAAAACCATCCTCCCTCCTCCAGTGTGTGCCTCATATCAAGTTTCTACAGCTGATGCCACCCTCCTGGGTCCCCTGGGAACTCCCTGGCCACCCTGCTGCCTTGGCTCTTCTCTCACTTTCCACAGTTCATATTGTCTCACCCACCCCACTGATCTCTGTGGCCTTCCCAGAGCTTGGGGCTTGTCTGTCTAACTGTACCTCTGTGTTCCTCCAGGAACCAAACATTCCACACACTGCTCTCTATTGTTTCTTTCCTGGTCCTGACAAGGCCTTTCAGGAAAAGGATGCTGCCATGTGTCTAATTTCAGTCTTCCCTCTCTATTCTACCCCAGAGGGCTGGACAGTTCTCCCCTGGATCACCTTAGAGTCTATAGACTCTGGAAATGAAGGTTATTCACAGGCCCTGGGGTCCCTGCCTCACTGGCCCTGAGGTCAGGTCTGCCTCACTGGTGCCTGAAGCTGCCCCCTAAATGGCTCCAAGCCCCAGACTCTATCTCCCTGGTAGTCTTCTACAGAGATGGAGGGCTACGGGTGGGGGTTCCCTCTTGCACATCACTTGCTACAGCCTTGGACAGATTTGGAATAGCCCTGCCCCTCTGCCTCCTGCACTCCTGGACTACTTACTCTGTGCTCAAATGGCACCTTCAACTATTCCTGCCTCTCCCTCATGCTCAACCCATCCCCTAAGATACCTGCCTTGCCCTCCTTTGGGAGCCCCATTAATTACACCTCCTTTCTGCATCCCTCACAGTCTGACTTGCTTCTTTGGTTCAGTGTGGTCAGCTGAACCTCCCACCCTCCCTCATCGTGGGCCCAAAGACAGCATAAGGAAGGGACTCTGGAAATGAAGGTTATGTTCTAAGAAGCAAGAAAAGAGGACATATGGAAGAGAGGAACAAATCAACCAGATGTGGGCCCTGCAGTATGACCTCATTCAAGCTTCTACTGAGCCTCAGAGTCCTCAGGTGATAATGAAGGAGGGTAGAAAGCTGCCAAGTTCAGAGCCTGGGCCTGACCCTGTGCTCAGCAGTGAGGACTGTTCCTTCTCCCATTCATTCTAGAAGGTGGTGTAAACTGAATGCAGGAAGGACTCTGACCTGCTTTGGGACTTGAGGGGAGATTCTGTGGAGGGCTGTCATCCTCCAGGTCTTGTGTGTCTGGTCCCAGGCTTGTCACAACAGTAGTCTTCTGCAAATCTTCCTGGACCACTGTGTCTCCTTCAGGGGGCTCCACACCAGGACCATCATCTCCCAGAGTGCCCTGATGTGGACATACCTGTGAGCAGTTCCCTTCCCACTTTCTTTTCACCCCCAGCAAAGTGCCTTACCTTAGCCTTGATCCTCTCTGGCAGAATGGTGCTTTCATTCTGGTAGCTTTCTGTCTGGAAGAGGGTCCCTGTGGTAGAACAGAAAGCCCATGGGGAGGAAAAAAAAAAGACGCTGCTCCAAAATGAACTTTCTGTACATCCTCTAGCTCTCTCACAGGCCTCATTTTGAATGGGATAGGAAAAAACCAGGGTGGAGCTTAGCAGCTCGTAAACTGAGATTAATGGGTAAATGGACTAGGTACCACCATGCCCTGAACAAAAGCCTCAGAAGATAGAGGATGGCTTATGCCCAACCCTTCACAAGGTCCAATTACCTTCTCCATCCAAGGTCCTAGCTAATTCTTCACCATCTGCCTTGGAGGGGGCCTGAGGTACCTGGGGGACTCCCTCAGATTCTGAGTCCATCCTGGGTTCTGAGCCCAGGGTCTCCACCGGCAGGTTCTAGGGAGAGGGAGATGAGCACAAAGCTACTTCATCAGGACAACAGGCACAACCAGGAGTGGGAATGCTCTGATAGGGTCCCCGGAGCTGGCTGCACTCAAGTACCCCAGCCCACATTTAAAAAACTATGACCCACTCATTGGACTGGGGAGATGATTCAGTGGTTAAGACACTGGCTGCTCTTGCAGAAGACCCAAGTTCCAGGGGATTTGACAGCCTCTTCTGTCCTCCACAGGCATTGCATGACACAGGTGCACTTACCTACATGCAGGCACTACACTCATACACATAAAATAAATAAAATATTTTTTTAAAAAATAAATAAAAATAATTGCCTGGCATAGTGGAACGCGCCTGTAGTCCCAGCACTCTGGAAGCAGAGGCAGGCAGATCTCTGTGAGTTCAAGGCCAGCCTGGTCTACATAGTGAATTCCAGGCCAGCTGGGGCTACAGAGTCCCTGTCTCAAAAAGACCAAAAATATAAGTAAATAAATAAAATAATAAATAAAAAAAAAATTTAAAGCTATGACACAATCAGGAACTACCCAAAATAGGCCTACCATTCAACTGCTCCCTAACTCCCTCACTGCTCCAGAAGCCAGGTTTCTATGCAATCACAACCACAGACTAGCCCAGTAGTCCCTGAAGGAGACCAATGGAGTCCAAGGTCTCTGTCTCCTATCACCAGTACTGCCCTCCCCATGAGGGAACCCAACCCAAACCCAGGGTCACAACTGTGCCCTAAGGGGGATTCCCTAAAGCTGCTCTCCCTCTGCCCAACCACACAAATTTTTCTGAGCTTTTCTGTCCTTTCTCATTACCTCGAGTCCCCACCAGCCATCTCCCAGCAGCTGCTGGCAGAGGTCCACTTGCCCCTTACCAGAGCCAGCCTGACCCCATACTGCTGGCTGGCAGCCTAGCCCTTCAGCTACTCAGCCTGGCCACTTTTCTCTGCACAGAACCCCTTGGCAAGCTTGCCCAGTCACCTCATCTAGGCCTCTTCCTCTAAGACTAATTCTTTTTATAATATCTTTGTGTTTGTCTGTGTATGGGGTATGTGTATGGGGTATATGCCCATTCCTTCTAGTGGTTCTAAAGTACGATGTCACGGGGGCTGGGAACTCAGAGATCTCTGACACATTCCCAGCATCCCTCTCTAGCTACTAATCCCCACCCTATCAAATCTTCTCCCTTCTTGGTAGTTTCAGGGGCCCTTTTGGGTTCCTGCCTTACCAAATGCCATCTGGAAGGCTGCAGGAGCAGTGTGGCAGCACTGTCCCTGTTCTTTGCCCACAGAAACTTTGTTCTCTGCCCACAGTGATAACTGTAAGGTCACCCTCTAACTTGGCAGTCCCACACTGACTGCACATCTAGATGACACCTGATGCCTCACCAGGCCCTTCAGACCTCTTCCTGGGGTTCCCAGGCTCTGGCCTGAAGCACTCCAACATGGGCTCTACCCAGTCTCCACCCTCTCCAAAGGCTCCTCAGGCTCCTCAAGGCGGTTTCCTCAGGCCTTTGCTCTTGCTGGACTCCCACCAGAATTCTCTCCCTGCTTCTCTCAACTTACCCATCTGGTCCCTTCCTCCCAGGTATGGCCCAAACTCTAACACCAGAGTTCTGGGGCCAAATCTCCCTGCCACTGAAAAGCTCTCTAAGAGCCAATGGGACAGTGCAATGACCATCAACAAAGGAGGAAGGCAGACCCAAAAAGCAGTCCATGCCTGCAGGAACCTCCCCCCATGTGGTTCCCAGGCCCATTTTTCCTACCTCTGAGCCGGCAAGCACCCAGCTATTATCTGGGTCTGGGCAGGAGGCCATAGTTGCTGTAGTCCCAGGGTTGCTAGAGTAGCCACCTGCAGAGAAGAGCTCTTAAGGATGGAGTTCCCTTTAGAGGGGCAGCAAAGCCAAAAGCAGACTTGACTGGGTTCCAGGGATCAAAGGGCTGGGCTAGTCAGTCCTTCTGGGCCTGATCCTGCAGCTTTCTTGGCAGTATTTACCTTGCAAATGAGTACCCATTAACAGCCACAGAGAAGCTGCTTCCTCAAAGGATTCACATAGGGCATACACTGACTGTGAAAGGTCAAAGCCTGGGGCTGGCAAGTCAACCCCTGATGACCAAGGAAGAGGAAGCTCAGAAAGGTTGATTGACTTAAAGACAGACAAAATGACCTGGGTCTCTTTCACAATACCTAGACACTCCACAATCACTACATCCTCCCATGGGGCCCAGAGAGAAACTCACTGGCCTCCTCTGTTCTGAGTCTCCTAGTACCCATCCATCATGCCCATCTTTTTAGGGGTCTCAGTACTGGCTATGCAGGACTCAGCTAGGACTAAGGTGGGAAAGATCAGGCCAGGCAGGAGGCTTTCTAAAACTACAAAAATAATTCTCACCGGGTGTGGAGGCACATGCCTTTAATCCCAGCACTCGGGAGGCAGAGGCAGGGGGATCTCTGTGAGTTCAAGGCCAGTCTGGTCTACATAGTGAGTTCCAGGCCAGCTGGGGCTACATGAAGACCCTGTCTCAAAAAAGACCAAAAAATTTAAAAAATTTTTGTAAAATTCTGAAGTGCAGCAGGGCCCAGGCCTGGAAGGGCTAAGTCTACCTGGATGTACCTGTAGTCATTCTCCATCCTAAATTTTACAGTTTGGTCCTAGGGATATTGAAAGTGACTGGAGAAAAAACAGATTTATGACAACTATCATCCATAAATCACATTAAAGTTTAAAAAAAAAAATCTGGGACTCTGGCTGTCCCCTCCTAGTCAGTTCTGAGTCAGCAGGTGGGGTTGAGGTATCACTCCCACCTCCAAAGCCCAACAGGAAGCAAAGCTGTGCCCTCCAGAACTGGGACCAGGCATGTGGATGGAGTGACAGATGGGCTGACCCACAAGAGTCCTGGACTGTGATCCCCGAGAAGATAAATGACTGCCTCCCCAGTGGCAGGAATGAGTGTGGATGAGAACTCCACAACCCCAGGAGGGGAAGTGAGGTGGGGGGAGTTGGGCAGTTCTCCCTTTGAACCGGTCACACCACTCCAGTCTGCTCCAGCTGGGTTTGAGTCCCATTTGGTTACCCTAACAAACTTCTGTGGCTCATGTCAGTCAAGATTCAAGTCCAGGACAGGGAAAGGACATCTAATGGTGTCTTCTTGGATGTTCACATCTCCCAGACACTAGCACCCATCCCACACAGAGAAAGAACGACTGCAATGACATCCCCACACCAAGCCCCTAAGGACACCCTCCTCCCTCCACCCCATTCCCCCCTTGCTTCTACTGACACCCATCCAGCCACCCCTGTTCAGTCTTCTGCTCTCAACCCCTCCCCCGCGGTGCTGTCATCTCCCTATCCCCAGTTGCTGAAGCTGACTGTTAACAGGTGGTGGCAGGAAGGAAGTGGCAGCAGCTTGAGCTGAAGTCCCTGTTTATCCCTGGCTGTTTACAGCCGGCTCAGGTCCTCCGGAACCAGGCACCATGGCAACCAGGGTGATGTCAATCCACTGTCTCCATGGAAACCAGCAACGTTATGGTATTTGGGTCAACAAAGCAAACAGAAGATTCTCTGGAACCCATGCACTCGGTCCCAAACTCTGATACTCGTTTCTTGGTATGTTCACCCAAGATACCAAAGATAACCCTGTCCTCCCAGGCCAGTACCTCAATGCCTTATTTGGAAATTCTTCAGCTGCCTAACTGCACCCTTCCTGGCACACAGGACTTTTATCCACTGACCTCTGGGAAGAAAACACACTCCTACTCTCCATACTCTCCCCTTCCTTTCCATTTAGACAGGATTCAACAAAAACAAAACATCTTGGAAGGACTATTTCTGAAAAACAGCTAAAGGGGGATCTCTCCCACTCGGCACCAAGCTAGGAAGTCTGGCCCTGAGCTCATTTCAACCCCTCTAACAGTGTTCCCTGATCATTAAAGAGAGGGGCCCGCAAGAACTTAGAGTTCCTGCTTTGGAAATACGTGTCTCCCTCCTTCCCCCAGCCTTGGGTCCTTTGTAAAACAGTTGTGTGGATGCCCCTAGCTAGTGCCCATTCTTTCTAGAGTTCTGCCCTCCTTTCCTTTACCTATGGATAAAGGGGGGCGGTCTGTGGGTTCCTTCCCAGATAGGAAATTACCTGACCCAGCTCGGCTTCGGTCTTCTGCTTAACTTGTTGCAGCCAGCCCAGGTTTCCAGAGCAAGAAAAAAAAGTGAGTCACGTGGCCAGTGTTTGACCAGTGAAAGTCAACTCCCCCAAGGAGGCGGAAACTTTTGACCAATAAAAGCTGGACTTGCGAGACAGGGGCGGTCTCGCTTTGCAGCACCTCCCCCGGGTTTATTTTCTGGTGGGCATCTGTGATTGCCAGCAAATTCAATTTTGAGTGATCTCCCCTTTTCTCCCGGTGTCTAGTGTCTAGTAGGAAAACCTAACACTGAAAGGCAAAGGGTGGTGTCTGATGAGACAGCACTGACCAAGTGCCAGGTTGGCCTGGTGACAAAGACAGCTGTAGGATGGGGGAGGGGGGACAAGTTGTGGGTTTAGAAATAGCTCTTCTGCCATTCTCCCTATCTGCTCCAAAGCATTCTGGGGATGCCACTGAGGCTTAAAAATGGAGGGGGACCAGGCATCGTGGCCCATGCCTTTAAATCCAGCACTTGGGAAGCAGAGGTAGGCAGATCTCTGTAGGGTCAAGGCCAGCCTGATCTACATAGGGACTTCTACATAAGGAGTTGACACCCTGTCTCAAAAAGACCAAAAAAAAAATGCTGGGTGTAGGGGTGCATGCCTTTAATCCCAGGATTTGGGAGGCAGATCTCTAAGTTCGAGGCCAGCTTGGTCTACATAGCAAGTTCCAGGCCAGCTGGAGCTACAGGGAGACTCTGTATCAAAAACACCAAAAATAAAATAAAAAAGCGCTATCCCATGATGAAGTGACCCTCCATGTTTCCACTGTAGCAGCAACTAACCCCACTCATACATCATACACACAATAAATTTCTAAAAAGAGGGAGGGAGGCCAGGTGTGGTGGTGCACGCCTTTGATCTCAGCACTTGGGACCCTGTCTCAAAAAGACCGAAAAATAAAAATAAAAAAATGAGAGACGTATATAAATCCAGCACTGGGTAGGCTGATACAGGAGGATGTTCAAGGCCAGCCTGTGCTACAAAGCAAGGCTGTTTCAACAGGCCAATATACAAAACAACAAAATGTGGAATACAGGCAGAAAATGGGGTAGGAAAAACATTCAAAAATCAAACGTGAGGGTTAGAGACATAGCTTAGAAGTGGAACATGTGGCTGCCATGTAGAAAGCCCTACCTCAGATCCCCAGCATGGCAAAGTAATTGTTTTTTTGAGACAGGGTCTTCCTGTAGCCCCAGCTGGCCAGGAACTCGCTATATAGACCAAGCTGACCTTGAACTCACAGAGATCCACCTGGGATTAAAGGCACGTACCACCATGCCTGGTGACAAAACAATTTTTGAAAAGAGCCAGGCATGGAGGATCTCTGAGGCCAACCTGGTCTCCATAGTGAATCCAGGCCAGCTGTGGGTACAGGGAGACCATCTCAAAAAGACCAAAAAAGAAGAAAAAAAAATCTGCTGGGGGGTCATTACATCTCCTCCCCTTTGGAGCTGCACTTAACCCAAACTACGGGGAAGTGGGGAGCACAGATCCTAAACACAGAGTTTAAGCACCCATCTGCCACAGGCTCTGGATCCACAGCTACCTGGCTCCTAGCTTCACCCAGCAGATACAAGGCCAGGCAGGGAAACCCTGGACTGTCCCCTAAGCTTAGCAACAGAGCAAGGCACTGGGGGTGCCTTGAGGGAGAATAGATATACCCTCACTCTCTGAGCATCCTTGGAACAGTGACAAGAAGTTATCCCAACCTTTTTGCAGATTAACAAAGGAGTTGTTTGGATTTTCAAATCATTTTATTAGTCCAACAGTACAAAAGATCCTGTAACCACATCTCTGCCAGCCTACTTTCTTCCAAAAAGTATCAGAGGACACTAGGACAGACCCTCCCGAGAAGCATTTTACAAACCAAGGAAGGGGGGGGGGGGACAACACAGAAGTATCAACAGGCAACAGGGGCAAACAAAACTACCAACACAACACAAAGTTGAGCTGTTTTGGTGTTGGGGAGCATAGAGAAGCCAAAAGGTTCATCCTCATCTTCCTCTGCCTCAAAGACTGCTGGCTCTACCTTGCCAGTGTCCTCTCCATGGGCAGAGAACAAGTAGGGGCAAGGAACTTCAGGGAGCGGCCCATTACCACACCCAGTGCTAAGCACTCAGATTTCTCTCAAGAGAACCACACCCAGGCCTGCCTTCCCCACCCACTAGAGGAATGACAGAGACTAGCAGCTTGGGAGGGCTCCTGATAGGGCCCCAGTCACATCACCAGCAAGGAGTGCTTCAAAAATAAAAATGAATCAAGCTTATCTAAAGGAATATTGGCAACAGCTTGCTGCTAGATGAGGAAGAGCTGATCTTCCTAAAACAAGGAACTATAGATAGGCTGAATACTCAGTGGATGGATAAGTACTGGGGAACGGCTCGGGGCACTGACAACACAGTGGACAGTAACAGGGATGACAGAGTACATGGGCTCCAGCGTTGGGTGGGGTGGGGTATGGGAAAGTACCACTTGGGATGTGAGTATACAGATGAGTAAGATTGTTTGGGATGTTTTATATGAAATACACTCATACACAAAAAAAATCAATAAATAAAAAATGAGTTATATTTGAGGAAGCATAAAAATTTGCTTCCTGTCAATTAGTAGATGTGAAAAACATTACCATTGAAATCTGACTTTATCTCCATACTCAGTTGCCAAGGATCTCAGAAAGTAACCGTGACTAGTAATAATCAGATAAGAGATTAGAGATGCATGTGCAAACACCTCAGCAGCATTAAAAATGAGTTTTTCTGTATGAAACCCTATATTTTAATAATGAAATGGAGATCTTTTTTAAAGGTTAAAACCTCATTCAATTTTATGTCTTATAGGGTTTATACTGAGTACAATATTGTATTAACTGTATTAATTCAACTGTAAACCTAAAATTTTACAGGCAATTTTGAAAGAGATACATCTTAGCTCTGGAAATTGTTACTGAATATGTCAATACTGTTGTAATGAAATGCTTCTTCTAATTATATGGTTATTAAATAAATAATTTTTAAAAAAAAATTAATCAAGCCCTGTGGAGGTCTTTAGCTAAAGGAAAAAGAGATGCTATGTCACCAGGCCCAAGAGGATACCACAGGATAGCCAGGAAAGAACAAAGCAGAAAACTCCAAGTTCCTCTACCCTTCAGTACCAAGCTCTGATGATCCCATCCCCACTCACAAAGTTGAGACAGGGCCTCACTTGGATTCTTTTATCAGGGAGGAAATGAGGTATAAGGGCTCTGAGTCTTTCTAGATATTTTTTTCTTTTTTTTTTTTTTTTTTTGGTCTTTTTGAAGCAGGTTCTCCCCATAGCTCCAGCTCTCCTGGGACTCACTATGTAGATCAGGATGGCCTTGAACTCAAAGATCCCCCTGCCTCTGCCTCCCAAGTGCTGGGACTACAGGCATGTGCCACCATACCGGGCTTCTAGATATTTTTCCAATCAAGTCAGTGAAATTGGGGAGTGAGGGCACCAAAAGCTGAAGCTCAGCACTATCATCACGTGCAACAGATGGACAGGGAGAGGGTTAGACCTCCATTCCAGATTTCCAAGACAGCCCAAACTTCAAATATTCTGGTCAGTTAGACCACAAATCCCAATTTTTGGCAAATACATGGTCATTAAGAGAAAAGCACAAGAGAAGCCAAGAAAGGACCAATGACTTTGGTATGAAGAAAAGGTCTTCTCAGCATCTCTTACCTACTGTCCAGAAAAGCAACTGCCCTAGCCAGGGACTCTCCTGCTTCTTCCAAGGTATTTGGTGCTCTGAGGGGAGAGGAATGACAGGTCTGGGGGAAGCAAAGAAGGACAGAAAAAGAATGAAATCCCCATTTACTTGTAGAACCCATAAAAGGGCTGTTGTAGAGATGTGAAGGAAGCTTGAATACATGACTCCAAAAGCAAAGGCTGGAGTTGTAGGGCTAGACGGGGATTTTAGGCACAGTAGGGGCATTTGTCATCTGCACATAGCATACCCTTGCCTTCTGGAACTTTCTCTGGCCCCCTTTCTCTTGCAGCCAGCACCCTTAGGCCTCCAGACAGCCACAGGGCTTTAGTTTCCTGGATCTCTGTAGACCTTGAAGCACAAGTTCCCAGAAAAATGAACAATCCAGGTTCTTCTGCCTGCCCACCTCAGTTCCTTTTCTGCCCTGAGGAACCACGTGTTTCTGCTCCATGGGGATGAGAAGCCAGTGGAAACAAGAGCCACACCATCACCCTCCAAGAACAGGAGGGAAATGTGCACTTCCCCAGGCCACTGTGCCAGAGTCACCCGTCGTTAGCAGCTACCAACTGCCCCATGCCCTCTCGGATGTACACAGATTGGATCTCCTTGGTCTTGAGGCAGAGATCACAGGCCCAGACGGCAGAGGCCTCAGTGGTCAGCAGCCCATAGGCGCTCTCAGTCATGCCGGTGCACTCCCGGTGAAACCACTTCTGACAGGAGGCCTCACACAGAATGGCATCCTGGTCATCGTTCACCTCACTTCGACAAGCACCACATGGGTACACCAGGCCTGGAGGAGGCTGTGGCCCTGAGCCCCCACCTGCCTTGCCAGGGGGTGCCAGACTGTTGGTATCTGGAGTGCCTCCACCCCGCCCACTGCTGCTGGGGGGGAAACTGGGTTGATTCCCATTAACAGCAGCAGCTGGGGAGCCTGAGTGGGGCTCTTGAGGAAAAGCAGTCGGGGCAGGTGGATTCAGGGGCTTGCCCCCATCCTCACCACCAGGGCCAGGAAAACCGGGGTCTGGACCAGGGAAGGGACTTGTGTTGGGAGGCAAGCTGGGGAGTCCCTGACCAGGTCTCTGAAGAGAAGGACCAAAAGGTGCCCCTGGCTGGGCAAAGCGCTGAGGGAGGGAAGGAGGGCCCAGCTCCCCTCTGGGAGGCTGTCCCATGGTTGGCGAGATCATGGGGCCAAATCCCCCCACTGAGCCTGGCATCATCTGCCCACCAGGAGGGCTAAAGTTTTGACCCAGAGACTGGTTGAAAGGTTGGCTGGGAAAGTTCATGTTGCCTGGGGGTGGATAGCCAGGGCCCTGGGGAGGCATATTAAAAGCTGGGCCCATGGGATTGGGAGGGAAAGGAGGGGGCTGTCGACGAAGTGGCTGGGGACCCCCTCCACCCCCAGTGCCATAGCCTGGGGGTACTTGGCCTGCCATGCCCCCCTGTACACGGAAGCCTCCAAAGGGCACAGGACTGCCAAGGAATGGAGGGGCTGCACCCCCGACCTTAGGGGCTCCGAAGTCATCCTCAAAAGGGTTGGAAGCAACCAAGTGATCCACCATGGGAGTTGGGGGTGGCGCAAACTCCGTCAGATGTGAGTATGCAGGACCCTGATGGAAAAGAGAAGAGGAAGGTGATAGGAGGAAACACAAAACTAAATTGGGAAAGCACCACAAATGCAATACACACTTTGGAGGCTCATAGTAACCAGCTCACATCTAAAATTGTGATAGACCTTAGAACACAGTAGAGGATGGAGGGCAGAGCTGACAGTGCAATAATGGTCTTTTGAAAAACAGGCAGAGCTGGGCCCTGTAGCACACTCTTGGTACTCAGGAGGCTGAGGCAGAAAGATCTGGAGAACAAGGTCAACCTGGACTACATAGTGAAACCTTGCCTCAAAAATAAAGCCAGTCATGGTAGCACATGCTTTTAACCTCAGCACTCAGGAGGCAGATGCAGGTGAATCTCTGTGAGATTGAGGCCAGCCTGGTCTTCATACGCATTCTAGGCCAGCTTGGGCTATAAGGATACCTTGTTTCAAAAAAACAAACAAAAACCAAAAAAGAAAAACAAACAAGACTGGAGAGATGGCTTAGCAGATAAGAGCAGGTATTATACTGCTCTTCCAGGGGACCTGAGTTCCATTCCCAGGAACCACAGGGGGCAGCTCACAACCACTTATAACTCTAGCTCCTGGGCATCCAATGCCTTTGGCTATCTCTGGCACCTGCAGTCATGTGCACATACCCACACATAGACACACACACATAGTTAAAAATAAAAATAAATCTTTAAACCAGGCATGGTGGTGCATGCCTTTAATCCCAGCACTTGGGAGGCAGAGGCAGGTAGATCTCTGGGAGTTCGAGGCCTGGTCTACATAGGGAGTTCCAGGTCAGCTGGGGCTATAGGGAGACCCGTCTCAAAAAGACCTAAATAGCCAGGCGTGGTGGTGCACGCCTCTGATCCCAGCACTAGGGAGGTTGAGGCAAGTAGATCTTTGTGAGTGGGAGGCCAGCCTGGTCTCAATAGGGAGTTTCAGGCCAGCTGGGGCTACAGGGAGACCCTGTCTCAAAAAGACTTAAAAAAAAAAAAAAAAGCAAATACCTCAAAAAGACAAAAACAAAACAAAAAAACGGGCAAAACCAAACTAAAACCCAGCTCTGACCCTGAAGCAGGTTTTGGTGTTTTGGTTTTTTTTTGATATGGTCTTACTTAACTCAGGGTGGCCTCAAACTCAGTATGTAGCTGAGAATAACCTTAAACTTTTCATTCTCTTCATTCTCCTACCTCTACTCCTGGAGCACTAGGATAGATATGTACCACCACACCTGGTTTATACAGTGCTGGGGACTGAACTCAGCTTTGTCCATGCTATGCAAGCACTTTGACCAACTGAGCATTTAACTTTTTTAGGTCTCATATTTCTCACCTTTAAAATAAGAACTGTTAAAGGACTTTATGACTACAATACCACTTAGAAAAGGCTCAGTAAGCTGGGCCTGGTAACACATGCCGGTTATGCCAAGACTTGGGAGGCTGAGGCAGGTTAAATACCAGCTGAAAGCCAGTCTGGGCCACAGAGTTAAGACCTTGCCTCAAAAAAAGTGGGGTTAGGGCTTGAGAGATGGCTCAGCAGTTAAGAACACTGGCCTCTCAGCACCCATAAGGAGGCTCACAACAGCATGTAACTCCAATTCTGGCCCCCTTGGGACAGCACAGGGTCCACTTACATAAATGCAGGCATTCACACATACACATAAAATAAAAAACAAGTAAATATTTTTTTTAAGTAGGGTTAGATCAGTTGGTATAGTGTTTGCCTGGCATGCACTGTCCTGTGGGTCCCCAGTACTGCGTAAAACCAGCATGATGGTGCATGCACACCTGTAATCCCAGCACTTAGGGGGGTGGAGGCAAGAGAACCAGAAGTTCAAAGCCATCCTTGGCTACACAGTAATATGAGGTCAGCCTGGGGCAGAGACCTCTTCTGAAAAAAGGAAAAGAGGAAATAAATGGCTGAGAGAACTAAGACAGAAAAGAGAAGGGAGAAAAAAATATTTCAGTTTCAGCTTTTCTTTCTCGGGCATCTGATGGAAAACACAGCACAGTAGACAAAGTACCTAGGGACTACTGCTAATTAACCCCATCACAGATCCCCATTCACCTGAGTGTTTGACTTTCTTCGCTTCTTTTCGGGGCTCTTCATTTGCAGACCTGGAAGAGCAGCAAAAGGCAGAAGCAGATACGTTTTCCTGAGGTTTCTACAATCTCCTTCCTCCCAGGACTATTCTAACTTCCACGTAGACTTCTTAACAAATGCAAGGGGTAAAATGTGAAAAATGACTTAGAGTCATACAAGTCCATCTTCCATGAAATCAGAGATACCCCATCTCTAGACACTACCACAGTTCATGTTTTCTGAATTCGGTGTGGCTACAAAATCTGAAGGGGACCTGACACCTGACCCCACCATTTATCCTTTTCACCTGGGCCTGCCCCTCCAGACCCATTGGCCCAACTCCCCATCCCCCAATCCATCTATACTCCCTACGAGTGTCCCAAGTCTTGGGCCTCCCCAGCCCCCGCCCCTCTCTGCGCTCTCACCGGCCTTGCCCTGCTTCCTCCCGGTGCTGGGCGGCGCAGGGGGCGGTGCGGGGCCGCTACCTCCCTCCAGCTTGTCCGGTGGGGGCGGCGCCGAGGCGGCCATGGAGTGGGGGGCCCGACTCAGCGGCGGCAGGGGATGGAGGCGCCCTCAGGCCGCACCATCGCCCGAAAGGGGAGATAGGGGCAGCACGACCCCCGAGCTGCAGCAAACCCGAGACACGACGAGGGGGAGGCGCCGACGTAGACCGCCAACCGCGCGCTGGCTCCAGACTCACCACCCGCCCGCGGCAGAGCAACCGGAACCGGAACTCCAGTGGGCCGTCACCACCGAGCGCGGCAGGGAGGGGAAGTTGAGTTGGCTCAGACCCTGCTCCCGGGAAGGGGAGACCTCGTCACACCACGGTGCTCTGCGTGCCTAGCTGCCGCCAGAGCTGCCAGACCCGGCCGGACAACGCCGCAGGCTGTGTCACCCGGCCCCGGCCGGCAGTCAGCTGGAGCGCGCTCAGGAGTCCCCGTGGGCCTGTGGGCGGCCCGCCCCGCCCCTTCCCGTAGCTAGCCAGTCGCCGCGAAGACACGTCTCCCCCACACGGAGTCCGCTGCAGCCCCCTCCCCTTTTGACCCCCGCGGATTTCCAGGCCCCACCGCTGAGGCGCCCCCAGCATTTCCAGAGGGGCTGAGAGGCCGGAGTAGAAGAAATACAGACTTTAATGAAGGCTCTTCCTTTGGTGTGAGAGACTCCGGAAAGACCCAAACCGAAAAAGGCGAAGGCCGAGATTGAAAACCTTCGGCTCCCCCTTATTCGTATGGCCTAAAGAGTGCGCAGCAAGTTTCAGTCATATCAGCCCACAGGCAGAAGGAACGCAATACCAGCAGCAAGCTGCCACATCACAACCCCACGACACCGTGCATCCAACCTTCTGCCTTACTGCCTTGTCCTAAGAGACCCAGGTTTTCTAATCTCCGGTTTCTCTTGGAAAAATAAAAAAACAAAAGTCCTGTCGGTCCTAGTTACCTCCAGGCCAGAGGGAGGCAAACACCAACAGTTGTAAAAGGGCTTGGAAAAGTCAAAAAGGTTATGTATAAATGTTATCAATTATAATTTTGTGCTCAAAAGTAAGCCATGAGAAACAAAACTTAAAAATAAATGTAGTCCTAAAAATGTATGCATGTAAAATGAAAATGAGTGCAGTTCTAAGTCTACAGATGGTACCTGGGATTGTCTCCTGCTTCAGTGGCAGTGCCTCCACAAAACCACACCTGGAGGTTATCTGTACATATAGGAGGCCCAAGCTCAGTCACACACCCCCAGCCCAGAAGGGGGAGATGGGGTGGAGCTGCAGAAAAGGACTATGCTTTGGCTGTAGAATAGACCACACATGCAACACAGGAGGGGCAGGCCTAAGAAACCTATACAGGCTCCTTGGAAGAAAGGGCCAGGAGGCACTGAGCAAGAGCAGGGTCCAATTCCCCCTTGGCCAGGAGGTGGGGCTCTGGGGAAATCTCTTAAAGGCTGTATATCCAGAAGGCAGAGGACATAGCTGCCACTCCTACCCTTATTCTTCCCCCCCAAACTGGAAGTGGTGCTGAGCAAGAGGACAGGGTCACAGAAGTCAAGGTGTCAGCACCCCTGTCCCCAGTTCAGGGGCCTGAGAACTGCAAAGTATCTGTACACCTAGGAGATAGTCAAAGGCACGAAGTTTTAACAGGGGACATAGAGGATGGCATATGTTAAGAGGGATCTGGGGTACCCTGAAGTCCAGGGGTAGGCCAGAGGTATGATTTGTTTCCCTTTCCCCAGAAGGGTGATTGCTCCACTGGGCCTATCACCACAGGACATTTTTCATTAAAGCACCCACCTTCTTGGGGAACAGGCATCAGGTTGGCACAGGAAAGGCCCAGGCAAGGGGGCCACTCTGTACATTAATACTTTGGTGAGGTTTGGGGAGAAGCAGACTGCTACTCCAGGCTCCTGACTCAAACCCTCTCTCTCAGGTGGGCATTAAACCCAGTGTCCACTCTTCCCAGCTCCCACCCAAGGCCAAACCCACAGAACAGAGGTCCTGAGGGTTAAGGAATAGAGTGGAAGGGGCTGGCAGGTATCCTCTAGGAGAGAAGCCTAGACCGATCACAGTTTCCGCTCCACAGGTTGCTGTAGACATAGTTCACTGCCTGCAGAGATGATGGGCAAATGATTGTCCATGTGATAGCTGATGAGGTGACTGACACTCTCAAAGCGGTGATCCTTTGTCCGAACCTGAGAAGGTGGGAAAGAAGAGGGTTAATTCAGAAAGTTCAGTAAGATCTTGGCCCCCAAGACTGAGAAAGAAAGAATAGTTAAGAGGGCTGGGGAAGAAGATGGGAGCAAGGAGGTGTCAGCCATGATTATCTCGACAGAGAGGCTATTCACAAGTGTGGGAATGGGCAGGTCAGTGAACTGGGAAAAGATGGAGACATCAGCCCAGAAATGGTGAAACTGAGGAACAAAAACTCTGACTTGAAGGAAGATAGTTTGTCTCAAGGGAGGATGCATAGTACAAAAAAGATAGCAAAGAAGTCTGAAATTGCCATAGAAAGAAACCAAGGTTGTCAGGAGCAGTATAGCAGTTCGAAAAAGAGAGGACACAGCCTGGGGCCTAAGGAGCTGGGGAGGCCCCTAGCTCCTCTTACAAGAGGAAATCTGGGGTCTATATGGAGATCTGATAGGGTTAAGGTCTAGGATATGGGCACTGGTCAGAACTGTAAACACAGCTCTGGGGGCTGGAGAGATGGCTTGGTGGTCAAAAACAGTGGCTGCTCGTGCAGAGAACTTGGGTTCAGTTCTAGCACCCACATGGTGGCTAACAACTGTCCATAACTCCAGTTCCAGGGGATCCAATGCCATCTTTTGCACTGCACAACAAGGGTGCACCTACCCACATGCAGGCAATACACTCATAAAAATAATAAATAAAAGATTAAAAAAAAAAACACATCTCTGGGCCAGTGAGATGGCTCAACGGGTAAAGGTACTTGCCTCCAAGCCTAACAACTTGGGTCAATCCAGGGGAATCACATGGTAGAAGGAGAGAACTAACTCCTTCAAGATGTCCTCTGACCTCCAAAGGCCCACTATGCCATGCACATGCCCATGTATGTACACGTGCACACATACAATAAAGAAATGTAAACAAAAGCTTAGACTCAGGGACAGAAGCAAAAGGACCTTAAACCAGGCACCTAGATGAGCAAGGAGACCCAAAGAAAGCTTCTAGCAAGGAAAAGTCTAGAAAGCAACGAGGAAAGGAAAAGGTACCTTTTCTGCCACTGCTGCCCACACCCCTGCCACACTTACCACACCCTCAGGGTCCACCAGAAGCAGGTGCTTGGGCTGCCCACTCTGCAGGCCAGTGAGCACATACTGGCCAGGTGTAGTGGTGCTCTCTCGCACCAAGAAGTCACCATTGAGCTGCAGCAGTGCCTCTGCCTCCCGCCGGCTCAGCTTCCCATGGAACCAGGACTCCCCTTGAAGTTGCTCAGCCATGGACATAGACTGAGAAGGTTGAGGCACCCGAAGGGCATCTTCAAAGGGCTCTAGGGGTGTAGAGAGAGGGCTAGAATTGGCTAGCCCAACATACGCCCTAGACCCAGACTCAGGAAAGGGAGGCCAGGGAGGAGACAGCAGGTAGACAGAAGAGGGGAACAGAGTAGGAAGGTGGGGCAACAAAGACACAAACTCACTCATGTCAAAAAGGTCTCGGGGTGTGCTGCCATTGACAGCAAGACTGGGGGGCCCAGCCCCGCCCCCAGCTTGCCGGGCTTTGTCTAGGTTCTGGATGTTGACATAGGAGGGATCATCAAAAAGTTCTCTGCCTGCTAAGGAAAGGCAGACTCTACAGCAATTCCAACCCTGCCTCCTGTACCCCTAGCTCTGCCCCCTTCACCAAACCCTTTATACCTGGGCAGGGTGGTGGAGGAAGAATCTGTTTTCGGACTTCGGAGTCTCCTACAGTTGGTTGCCCTACAGGCTACAGAGATAAAAATCAAGTGAAACCAAAGCCCTAACCAGCCACTCCTGACCCGACCATCTCTATCCAAGCAACTTACCAGTGTAGCTCCCAGATGGCTGGGCATCTGGGCACTGGGCAGAGTGGGTCGAACAGCTCCTGAAGCAGCTCCTTCCCGAAGCCTCATGTCTACCACCCCACCAAGAGGGGGTTCCTTTCCTGGGAAGTCATTATAGTACTGATGGTCGGGTGGTTCGTCTTCTTCCTCATCCCAAGCTGAGCCATCAAAGCCAGCCATCCTGAGAAGGGAAGGATGGAGTGAGAAGGTAGGTGTAAATGTGTGGTGACAAAGAGATCCGGGGAGGGAACGGAATATGGATCAGACCAGAGGCTGTGTATTGTAACCCTACAAGGCTGGTCTTAATGCCTTCCACAATTTTACAAATGAGGAAATTTTTAAAAATATTATTTTTATGTGTATGTGTGTATTGCCTGCATGTAGGTAAGTGCACCCATGTCCTGCAATGCCCAAGGAGGACAGAAGAGGCTGTTGATCCCCTGGACTGGAGTTACAGGCAGTTGTTAGCTGCCATGTGGGTGCTGGGATTCGAACCCCAGTCTTCTGCAAGAACAGTCAGTGTTCTTAACAGCTGAGCCATTTCTCCAGCCCTGACAAATGAGGAAATTTTACAAATCAAGGGTGAAGAGATTTGTACACACAAGGTCTCTGAACTAAAAGGATACTCCTTTTAGGTAAGATATAAATTGGGTTTGACTGGACGATTCATACTCTTGACAGCTGTGCTGTCTCCTAAAAGGGATGGAAGCACTATGGAACACAGGATGTCCAAATGGGTTAGGCTCTTGTGAAATACAGAGTTCTCAACTGTAGATGACTACAGTTTATCTCTTTAGGCTTGAGGTGAGAAAGGTAGGATCTCAGAAAAAAAGAACTGTTGGGATTAGGGAGATGGCTCAGGGGATAAGGTGTGAAGGCAGGAGTTCAGATCCCCAGAACCCATTAAAAGCCAGGCAATCATGGTGGCCACCTGTATCCCAGCACTCAGGAGGCAGAGACAAAGGATCCATAGAGTAAGCTGGCTAGCTAGACTAGCAGGAATTGGCAACAGCAAGCTCCAGGTTCAGTGAGAGAGCCTATCTCAATAAAGTGGAAAGCAATTGAAGACGACACCTGACATCAACTTCAGACCTCTACATGCACACATGAAAACATGCATACAAACATGCAGGCACACAATACATATACACAAAAAAGAAAAAGATACCCTCCCAGTCCAAATCCTTTTTTTTTGTTGCTGTTTCTTTTGAAACAGGGTCTCACTATGTAGCCCTGGCTGGCCTGGAACTCACTATGTAGACCCAGGCTGGCCTCAAACTCACAAGAGATCTGCCTGTCTCTGCCTCTGCTTCTCACGTGCAGCACCACTCCTAATGTCAGTTCAAATTCCTAATAGCCTTCAGAGGCAGGAAACCACAGAACAAAAGATTGGAGAAGTATGCAGCTTAGTGGTGAAGAACACAGAGCCCAGGTTCAGTTCCCAGCACCCATACGGTAGATCACTCCACACATTTATAACCCCAGCTCCAGGGGATCCAATGTCCTCTTCTGGAGGACACATGGTGCACTTACATCTATGCAGGCAAAACACTCATACAAATAAATAAATCTTGGGGAAGTAGATAAGAACATAGGGATAAGTCAAAAATAAGGATGCTGAGAATTCAAAGCCCATCCAGAGAAAGAGATGCCATGAGAGGTGCTAGAATATAGCTCTGCCCCAGGCAAACAAAAGGAAGAACTCCCTGCAGCAGGCAGAGCCTCAAAAGAACTTTCCTGATGAGCCACTGAAAATCTAAAATAGCAGGAAGTGGGAAGCAGGGGCATATAGGTCATTTCTTTTCCTGAACCCCTTGGAGCTCAAACATGGGAAGAACAAACCTACTAACCAAGCCCAGGCTAAGGCCCAAGAGCTGCCCCACACTTCCCTCTGGCTTACCTGTCATGAGGGGTGACCAGCTTGGGAGGGTTCCTGAGGTATTGTTTGAAGCGCAATTCAAAGGCCTGACCAATGGTGCTGATGACGTCCTGGGCAAGCCCTTCAGGACACTCCAGGATGTGGCAGGCTGGGGAAACAGAGGCTGCCAGTGAGCTCTGAGATAGGATGCTGGGAGGAGATGCTGGCAAGGACCCCCATCCTTTTCTGTAGGATAACCTATCAGCATGGCTGGTAAGAGCAGGTAAAGGTGACCCCAGGTTTTGTTCACCTGCCTCTCAAGACAAATGGCCCCACCCAGTTGTCTCCACAAGCCTCACCTCTCTGATTCACAGGGTCTTTGGCAACATAGGCGACATACTCGGCTGTGTCCTAGAGTACAGAGTCAGAGGAGACCAGTTAGCTAACCTGTACAACTTCTTACTCTTGACCCTTAAGATTCTATCTTTTCAGATATTCCCACATTCCTAGCACCCCCCACTTCTCTATCCAGTGCCTTTTCAACCCCTAGTCCCTTACTCCCCACCCCCATCTCTGCTATAAATCAACTCACCGGATCCCCACCGGACGCAAATGAGATAGATTGCATGTGATGGTTGGCAATGATCTGAGGATGAGGGAAGGGGATGGAGAAGGAAGGGAATGATAAATGTTAGACAGCCTCAAGGCCCAGTAGGTACTCCCACCCCTAGCCCAGAACCCTGGACCCCAGTCTCATTCTCTCCTCCTAATTTGTTCCTTCCCACTCTCCTGCTGCTCCTGAGGCCTCTCTCCTAGTTTCAACCCTCTTATACCCAGATCTAACCCTTAACCCTCCCATCAGTGTTTCTGGTCCCCTTGAGCAACCCCACCCACCTGCTTGCAGTCTGAGGCCATGAGGTTAAGGCTGCTGGTGGACACAGTGAGAGTGATTGGCATTCCAGCGAACTTCAGGTTACTCCTCCCCAGGATAGAGCTGAGTGGGCGGTTACAGGGCTAGGGAAAGACCCAGAGTCTCAGAAGCTGAGAGTTCCCAACATCAAGAAAACACACTCCTGCCTTCTCTCTATATGCCCTGTACTAGCCTTCCCCCTGCCCTCCACATCCCAGCAACCCCACATACCTTTCTCCTCCTTGTCGCCCCCTTGGCACCCGGCACGGCCTCACACACCAAACTGATGGCCTCCCTGGGGAAACAGGGGTACTCAGACCTACCACCAGCCTCCCATAGGCTGGGGCTGCCACAGAGCTGGGGGAAGGGAAAACCAGGCCAGACTCCCAGGGCACTCCAGGCTCTTTGTCATGGTGGATTGAATTAAAGGCCTTTAATATTTGATGACACTGAGAGGCCGCTTCCTGGATGATTGGGTTAGGGCCTCAATGAATTTATCCCCACCTCTTCCCAGCTACCAAATGTTCCATTCCCTTTCCCAAAGCAGCAACAACCTTCCACCTACCCCCTTTTTCTATTCCAGTTCCATCCACTGCCTTCTCACAACCTTCAAGACTGGCTTGGCTAAGGTGGGACTCGAGGCCACAGCTGGCTCTTTTCATTCAGACTTGGACTTATTTCTATAACTTTCTCTCAGTCTCTTCACCACCCAAAGAGAAGTCACCATCAGCAGCACCACCAAATGTTCTACTTCCCTCCTCTTCCTTTCTGCAGCCTAATCCTAGGACTCCCATAATCCACCCTCCTGCCCACTAACCTGCCTCCCCACTAACCTGGTGACCTGAGTCCGGGTATTGAAGTCAAGGGCTCGCATTGACTGCAGAACCTCCACACAACCCATGTACTGAGGAGAAGGGCAGAATCAGTCAGCTGCCTCCCCTCAGTCCCTCCCAGAGGGCTCTAGGGTTTTTCCCTATGTGGTCCCAAAAGAAAGTGAAGGTGAAGTAGTCTTCCCACTGCCTGGGGCCACCACCCCACAAAGTGTATGACAGAGAAAGAGAAGAGAAGAAAGGGCCACCTATGAGGACCTCATACACTGGGGAGAGGAGTAGCAGGCATTGGGAAGGATGGAGAAACATCTCTGGAAAAGGGGAGGAGTCTGGAGGGACTAATCAAGAAGTCACTCATTCCTTCAACACTTAACTAAGAGTTTCTGATGTGCTAAGCATTGTGCTAAGCTGGGAGTGGGGGGACAGTGCCAAAGAAAGGGGGCCAAGGCAGAAATTTTCCAGGTTAGGACTAAGGGTACAGAATTGGAAAAGGAATAAGGCAGGTTTTAAGAAGCAGGACAATAACACAGAGCAGTTGTTGGGAAAGAGCAGGAAGTCCCAGCAAAGCTGGAGTGAGCAGAGGGGCTGGATGGGGTCTGGGAGTAGAAGACAGGATGTTCACTCACCCGAACCAAATAGGAAACCCCAGGTCCCATGACTTTGTCGTTGGGATGCAGCCAGCCCCGCGTGGGCTTATTGACAAAGCTCCCGTGTCTGGTCCACTCCTCGCCCCCCAGCTGGCCCCCTTCTACCCGAGTCCTGCGCCCGCCGCCTCCACTCAGCTTGTTCATGTCCTGGAGGAGGGGCAGGAGGCCTGAGTCCCGCCCAGCTGCCCCAGCAACCCCTTCCCCATTTTCAGCGGCTTTTCCTGGCTCCCCCTTAGGCCCCAGGCGCCCCCCAGCAGGATTGGCCAGCTTGAGGTTGCTCATTCGGGGAAAGAAGGAGCACAGGGTAGTCGGACTATCGTTCCCAGGCAGAGTTGGCAGAATGGGTCCCAGGGATGAGGCTGATGGGGAAGGCAGCTCCTCCGGGGGAGTGGACCCTGAAGCCCCCTCCTCCAGCGATGACAGAGACTCATTTCGAAGTGGGTTGTACTTCAGCTTGGGAGGTAGAAGATCCATGGCTGGGATGAGAAGGCGACTGCTCCCTGGCCTGGCCCCCCTGCCAGTTCAGGCAAGGGGGCCAGGCAGGGGCCCTCCCCAGGCCCTTAGCCTGGTCTGACCCCTGCAGCCCAGTGGTCACAGAAGTCCTGGGGAGGCAAAGAACAAGTAGCTTCTGCTCTCCCACGGATGAGAACTAGCCAGTTTCAGGCCCCTTCCTCGGCCATCCCAGCGTGGAGCCTCTTATGGCAGAGGAGAACAGGCTGGACCCAGAGCTAACTGGCTCCTCCCCAGGGGCGGGGAACTAAGGAGAGACCAATCCCAAGGACAGTGCTGACTCACAGGCTCAGAGGGGCTGAGCCAGCTCAATCCCACCCCCACCTAAGGTAGAGGTAGCTAGCCGTACCCCTTTCCCTTGCTCAGTACAAACAACTAGTTATCTGGACTGGAGGGAAGGATGGAGGAGCAGGAAAAAAAGAAAGGAGATAAGAGGAACTCTGGATTAATCCAAACCGGACATGAGCAGGTCAAAGAGAGCAGGAAGCCAGGAGAGGCTAGGAGGAATGAGGGAGGAAACAGAAGCCACTGCTGGTGGAAAAGGGAGGGGATCCCAGAGCCCAGCATTTCCCTTCCTGTCCTGGCTGAATTCTTGATTCCCTCATCCTCCAACCCAGACCACCCCCATCATTAATACATCCAGTGGGGTGGTGGTCCCAGGGGGCCTGAGCCATTAGCATCCTCTGCCACAACAGCTGTGGACTAGAGCTTGGAAATGGGGAAGGGAGGAAGTGGTACCAGCAGATGCAGAGCAAGGCCAGCAAGAAAGGCAAAGCTAGTGAAAGTGAAGCATGGGGGATAGTCCGACTAGGGTGGTGCATCAGGCTACAGCAAGAGGACATGTTGGTCAGGCCTATTCTCCACATATGGCATCTACCAAGGAGCAACAGACTCCCTGACAAGCATTACTCTGCCCCCTTCTCCACAGGCCTGGTGGGGAAAGCAAGATGAGAAGAGAGGTCAGGTACTAGTTAAGGCCAATCCCTGGACTACAAAGAATAGAGTTCTAAGCCCCCCACACTCAGCAGGTCACTCACACTAGTGGAGGGGTCTGGCCTATGAGGTAGGAGAACAGTTCTTCAAGAGAACTGGGGGTTACAAGCCACAAAGGGATAATGGGGTCACTTATTGACAAATCTGTGTTAGAAGACAGAAGAAAGAGATACCAGAAATTGGGATATGGCTAGAAATAGATGACAGTTCCAAACTTATTCCTTCACCCACAACTTCCTGCCATAGCACTCTCTGCTTAAGGAAGGTCATAGAGGAAGTTACAGAAAGTCACCAAAACACAGAATAGGCTCACTTCCAAATTACCCTTGGGTTTATTTTGGAGGATAAGAACAACCTATGATTATTGTGATTAACAATACTAGCACTTAAAATGTGTTAAGTACCATGTTTCAATCTTTCCCCAGATCTTAGTTCTCATCCCAAGGAAGGCTTTGTCACTGGACCCCACCCCCTCCAATCCTGCAAAGAAATTCTGCCACTCATTTGTTTACTTGTTTGTTAAAGGCTTCAGCTCTTAGACATGGAAAGAATGAAGGATTCTGCCACAGCCGCATACTTCCAGTTACACAAACACATCCCAAGATGTCCTCATCAAGATGTTGCTAGGGATGGGGTTCCTTGGGAGCTTTCATACCCAGAGGCTAGGAATGACCAACAGGTGTGCACATTTGGAAGAAAAAGGAAGTATGAACCTTTAAATTTGCATAGAAAGCCAGAAGATTGCCAACTGGACTACATCCAGGTGATGGGGGCGGGGGGGGGGGGCTTCTCAGCCCGACAGGGAGGAGGCCACAGCGGAGGGACAAGAAAATTTGCTGTGCCTAGTCCTTCCCTAATCTCAGGAAACTCTATGAGTTCCTCATAACAAAGATGGGGGGGGGGGGGGGGGGGGGGGGGGGCTTCTCAGCCCAGCAGGGAGGAGGCCCAAGGGCAGGAAGAAGGAAATGGCGAAAGCCTCAGGAATGTTTCCTGGAGGGAAGGCCGGACCAGTGGGGCCAGGATGAATGCCAAAGAGCTTTCTGGTCCGGGAGTGGGGAAGAGCCAGACAAGGGTCTCTTAAAAACAACTAAAAGGGCGTTATCAACTACTCAAGACTCCAAATCAGTTTTCTAGTGGTAGGAAAACTTTCCCTCCCGTTGGATTCACACCAACCAATGCTCAGTCCTATCCAGCCACGGGAAGGCACCACCTATAACAGCTCTCTCGGGGATGGGGTCCATCCTAGGAACGAATGGGCCTGGAGTCTTTAACCAAGTTTTCCTAAACCCAGCCTCTTCAACTTGATCCACCCTTGAAAGAGGTTAGGGGAGAAAAAAAGGTGCCAATAATCTCACTCTTCGCTACCGTAGATGGGAACTTGAACCTTCCATCTGATGGAGCAAGAGAGCTCGGGAAAACTGAGCCCAAGGCCCAAAGAAAGGAGAGGGAAATAAAAGGTGGGGCGTCTGGGATGTGCGGCGTGGACCTGAGCCCGACAGGGATAATCCCCTAAAGGCACCTCGTCCCTAGGAGTGCAGATTTCCCAAAGGCTGGGCTACAGAACATTCAGACGTGGACTGCGGAAGGGGCGGGCCTCAGAGGGGGCGGGACCCCTCAGAGGAGTAACTTCAGCCTAGACGAGTCGTTCCTTCGGAAGCGAAGTTTTTCCCTTTTAGAAGCCAGGCTTTGGACAGGTTTAGCGGACAATCGCGAGGAGGCGGAGTTTCAGAGAACTGGACCGACTAATGCAGGGTTTCCAGCGCAGAGTTTGGAAGCACCTCTGGGGTTGGGGACTTCCAGGGAAGCTGGACAGCAGGGTGTGGTCGCGACCATAAAGACAAGTCGGGGTTCGGGGAGCCCCCTGAAGTTGGGAGGTGGGACTTCCGGGGAGGGGGTCTCGGGGGCGGGACTTATAAATAAAGGCCGGAAGTAGGGTCCCGGGAGAGGGGTTCCGGGGAGGAGGAGTGGGTTACCAAAGAAGGGACAAAGTCCGGACTCACCAGGGCCGCATTGGAGTTCCCGCACCGCACCGCGGGCCAATCTGGTTCCGGATCAGGCCACTGCCTGTTTAAGTCGCTGCCCCAACTTTCTCCCCAGCCTGGGCCTCCCCAGAGAAACTTTATTCCTCTCACTTCCGGCCTCACTAACCCCTGACCCTGTATCTCAGCGTCCCGCCTCCCCTCGGCCCACTTTCGGGAGCCAGCCAATGACAGCGCGAGAAGGCGCACAGGAGCAGAGGTAGCCAATAGGAGCTCCGCTTTAGATCCAGCTCATTCTTCAGAAACTGAAGGCCGGCAGACCAATGAGGATTCGAGGAGAGGCAAATGGAAGCCAATCAGGGACTTCAGAGTGAAGTGGTCCCGCCTTAAGACGGGAAGACCAATAGGCTTTCCGGGCGGTGTGTTTGAAAGCGAGGCCAAGAAGGGTGGGAGCGTGTGCTGCCCGGAGCTTTTTGGAGCGCGTGGTTCGCGCTCTCGCAGAGCCGTCATGTCGCACAAACAGATTTACTATTCGGACAAATACGACGATGAGGAGTTCGAGTACCGGTTAGTGCCGGCGCGGGGACTACAGCGAGGTTGTGCGCCTTCATAAAAGAGCACGAGGCGTTAGTAACCGAGACTAAGGCCGGGAACCCGGAGGTGGGGGCGGGGGGGGGGGGTTGGAAAGCAGGGTTTCTTTTGCGCATGCGCGTGAGGTTAACGGAAGGGTTATGTGCTGTTGAAAATGGGGGGGGGGGGGGGGGGGGGGTGTTGGAAAGCAGGGTTTCTTTTGCGCATGCGCGTGAGGTTAACGGAATGGTTATGTGCTGTTGAAAACGTAGGGCGCCTGCGCGAAAGGTGGGCGTCGTTCTGCAAAACAATGAAAGGGGAATGCGCCTTCTGTTCATAAGAAGCGTGGTTAGCGTCCTCACCAACTTCAGCTTTGGGGCTTTCTAGACCAGTCTCAAACCTTATTGGGCTCGTATAGCAGAAGCAGAGTTGAACTTTTCTTCATGCTCAGTACCAGGAGAATTCTGAGAGCGTTTGAGTGTTGCTTATTAACTTATGAAAAAGATAAGGAGCCTGGTTGGCCTTGTTTTAAAACGCGGGCTCCCATGATATAGAGAAGACACTTGACTATGAGAGTAGTAGATGCCTTCAATACTTGAGGAGTCGTGGCGTGCTTACTAGATTCAAGTGTTCTGCTGAGGTGCAAGGTAAGGCGGATACGGTGGTTCACTCCCTATAATCTTTCTGGAGGCTGAGGGTAGAGGAATTACACAAGGTCCAGACCAGCCTGGACTACAAAGTGGAACCCTATCTCAAGAGAACAGTGCATGGATTGTGCTTGTCACAAAGTTAAAAATCCTTGGAAGAAGCTGACAGACCCCAGAAAGAACTTGATACATGTGGTAGAGCTACAGGCCAAGGAAGAAGGAAAGTTAGGGGAATCTTCCAAAGGGAAATGCCTGAGATGAGACTCTTGAGGATATGGGGGAAAGAGAAAGCACCTCTTGATTGAAATCTTTAGAGTCAAAAACACTGGCTATCTGCCAAGGTTGTAGAGGAAGAAATCCCTGCACTGAATGCAAGCATTTGGATTTGATAGTGCTGAGTCCAGAATAATTTTAAATTGGAAAATGAGGAAAGGCAGTGTTTCTACAAAGGTTGATATTACACTAATCTGCATGACTTGTAATACCTAAGGCAGCTTTCTAGGTTGTTGCTTGTCTCAACTAAAGAACATAAAATGGAAATTGACTTTTCTGTGTCTCCACTCAGCCTAGTTCAGGGGTTTGGGTACTCTGGAGAACTGGTGTATACTGACAAATATATAACCATCTTTTTGGTAAGAAAACTCCACACCAGTGTACAGGCATGACACCTCCATCTCAGAGAGGCTAGCAGGTCAAGCTCGTTAATACTTGGATGGGAAAAACACCCACATCTTCCTTGGATCCTTGCTTTTCATATTAAGCTATTTCCATGTTGTAACTAAAACTATATGCATATAACATTTGCATGGCCACGAGAAATTTGCCAGAAGATAGATGTAACTCTAGCAGTAGCATTTGGTTTGAAAGGGGGTTTTTGGCCAGCTATGGTAGCATAGACCTTTAGTTCCAGGTGGATCTCTGTGAGATTGAGGCCACCCTCGTCTACATAGTGAGTTCCAGGCCAACTGGAACTACACAGTGAGACCCTATCTCAAAAAGTTTTTTGGTCCTATGTATTGAAGCCAAATTTTGTGCATGGGGTTTGTTAGAATGCTAGTTATTTTCAGACATTTGGACTAGAATTATCTCTGTTGAGCGGAACATCTTGTTACTCCATAGAGTGCATTTAGCATATTTTCGTTGAGCATGGTAAAAATCTCATGGAGATCCTCCTTCCCCTGCTTCCCAGGTGCTGATATTAAAGGCATATTGCCATCATGTTCAGCTGAATAATAACTTTCTGTCACTAACCTTTGGTTAGGAAAGCATGAAGTTTCCCAGGTGTGGTGATACATCCTTTAAAAGTTAGGTAATGAGATTTGAGATAGACATTTACATGTTTCTTATGACAGTTCCACATCCCACTCCATAATCTTTGCCTGTAGTCCCAGCACTTGGGAGGCAGAGGCAGGCGGGTCTCTGTGAGTTCAAGGCCAGCCTGGTCTACATAGTGAGTTCCAGGCCAGCTAGGACTACAGGGAAACCCTGTTTCCAAAAAAAAAGACAAAATAACTTCTTCCTCACCAGTCCTATATGGGTAACCAACTATAAGACTGTAAGGTCCACAAAATCAGAAAGTACATATCATCAGTATTTATCATTAAAATGGTTCATACATTTTTAGAGCTGGCACACACCTGTAGTCCCAGCACTTGGGAGGCAGAGTCAGGTGGATCTCTGTGAGTTTAAGGCCAGCTGGGGCTGCAAGGAGTAGCCCTTCCTGCTTTAGCCCCTTGAGTGCTGGGGTTACAGGCATGAGCTACCACACCCAGCTGTTTTTCCTCCCCTGCTTTTCTTTGTATATAGGCACTTCTCTGACAGCCACTACTGATAGAAATACCCCACCTCCTCATGTTTCTGTTACAGGCATGTCATGTTGCCCAAGGACATAGCCAAGCTGGTCCCTAAAACCCATCTGATGTCTGAATCCGAATGGAGAAACCTTGGTGTTCAGCAGAGTCAGGGATGGGTCCATTATATGATTCATGAACCAGGTCAGTGTAATGCCTAAAAGCAACCATGGAAGACTGCTACACTCAGAAATTGAAAGAATAAGATTACATAACCCAAAGCAAGAGAGGGAATAGGGAATGATTTACTGGGTTCTTTCCCACATTAGCTATATAAACAAACTAGAGGGACAAAAAATAATAAAGTAAAATGTCTACAAAGATCAGAGATAACCTATTATTTAAAAAAAAAAACTTGAATGAGCTTGAGAGTACTCTTTAAGACCACATATACTCTGATTGTGGCCCCTGCTTTGTTTTCCATTAAAAAGCAAATTAACTAGATGTGTTCCAAATAAGCAAAGGAAATTATGTTTCTTGATAAGACACCAGACACCCAGCTGCCAGGCAAAACTAATAAAGGACACCCCAGGGCTGTACAAACAGAAAAGAACTGAGATGAGCAGTTCCGTACTTGGCAGAAAGGCCAGACTTCTGGGTCTGCTTCTAAGGCCATATGCTTACATCTTAATTTAGTTACAAAGATTGAGTGGGTGTAGCTGGGTGGTGATGGTAGAATACACTATAGGTTGTACATAGACTGGTGTGAGCTTCTCTCAGATTTCACTCACTCTTTCAGAACCTCACATCTTACTGTTCCGGAGGCCACTGCCCAAGAAGCCAAAGAAATGAAGCTGACGAACCACTTTTCAGCCTCAAGCTTTACACAGCTGTCCTTACTCTCTAGCATCTTTCTGATAGCATGACTTAGTTGCTTCTTATTTCTCACTTTATATTTAAAGGATGTTCAGTACACTGTCTGAATGTGCTGGTCAGTGCTTTGCTTCTCAAGTAGAGCCACCAACACCACAGCCCTGTCAGACGGGTGCTCTGTATCTGAGTGTGACCCAGAAGCCATAGAGTACTCTGGATCCAGCAGACTACATTTGCCATATTGAAGAAGCATCTACTGTGGTTGTTATATGGATTGTGTAAATTTGCTGTTTTGTTTTTCCGAATTGGTGTTGTATTTATGGGTTTATGGTGACTTACGGATTTATGTTTCAGTGTATTGGAAACTTTCCATTTTATTTGACAAATCTGTTCCATGTTACAAGCCTTGATTAAAGAGTAAATTTTTATAATGTAATGCTGTGATTATAAACGTGTTCCCCCCAGGGGACTATCATACTTAATATCATTCTAATATATGCCCTTCAGTTTGATAATGGAAACTTAGCTCTTTGCAGTAATGAGGTTTAGTTGGGCATAGTAATAACACACACAGACGCACACACACACACAAATGTATGGATATAAAATCTGTTTTACACATGTTTACTGTGAAACATCTGTTGAAATATATTTCACTTTGACTACTAGCCTGAGATAATGATTATAATGGGACAACCTCATCTCACCAAAACAAATGAACTGATTTGTACAGGCAAGGGTGCTACCTTTAACATAGTCCTAATGTTCAGAAGCATCCAAAGGTAAAGGGAGGAGACTGTCAGCCAGAGGCTGTTTATGTGCTCCAACTTCAGGAAGACTCCAGTATCTGTGACTTGTCAACTGTGACTAACCGCTGGAGGTGGATTTCAAATGTGGTTGAGTATTAGAATCATCTGAACAACTTTCCAAGTACTGATGCCCACCTAAGTCATTCCTACAGAGTTTAACTTAATTCTTCTGGAGTGGGCTGGAAGATGACTTAGCAGTTAAGAGAAGGTGCTGCTCTTCCAGAGGACCAGAGTGTAGTTCCCAGCACTACATTGGACTGCTCATAGCTATCCGGAACTCTAGTTTCAGGGGATCCACACCCTCTTCTGGCTGCCACAGGCACCTGCACACATATGGCATATGTACTGCTTGCATGTAGGTAGGTGCACCTGTGTTGTGCAATGTCCACGGAGGTCAGAAGAGAGTGTTGGAGTCCCTGGAACTGGAGTTACAGACCATTCTAAGCTGCATGTGGGTGCTGGAAATTGAACCCAGGACCTCTGCAAGAGCAGCCAGTACTCTTAACCCGTTGAGTCATCTCCCGCCCCCCTAAAAGATAAAAATCTTTAAAAATTATTATGGAGTGTAGTCTGGGTATAAGAATGTCAAGGAGGTAGTTAACAGCACTTAAGTTTTGAGAAAGCTGGTGTAATGAGCCTGAAAGATTATTCAGTGGGTGACCACCTCAGTTCAATCCGTGGAACTGAACATAATGGAAGGAAAGAACTGAAATTGTTCTCTGATCTCCACAGGTGTGCTGTAACACAAGCATGCCTACACATACATACTTTTTATTTTTTAAGTTTTATGTGTATGTGTGTATTGCCTGCATGTAGGTAAGTGCACCCATGTTGTGCAATGCCCACGGAGGTCAGAAGAGGCTGGATCCCTTGGGACTGGAGTTACGGACAGTTAGCTGCCATGCAGGTGCTGGGATTCAAACCCAGGTCTTCTGCAAGAACAACCAGTGTTCTTAACTGCTGAGCCATCTCTCCAGCCCCCAATACATATATTTTAAAACATTTTTGACTGGATGTAATGAGACATGCATTTAATCCCAGCACTCAGGGGACAGAGAAAGGCAGGTCTCTGAGTTCAGTGCCAGCCTGGTGTATATAGAGAGTTCCAGGCTAGCCAGAGCTACATAGTGAGATCCTGTCTAAAAGGAAAGAAAAAAAAAAAAAAAATCACCAAGTAATAGCCAGAAGAGGGTGTCAGGATTTCCTGGAACTGGAGTTGTCAGCCTCCATGAAGGTGCTGAGAACCCAACTCTGGTCCTCTGCAAGAGCAGGAAGTACTCTTAATCTCCAAGCTATCTCTCCAACCTCCACCCCATCTGTTTTTTTTGTTTTAGCTAAGAAAACCATACAGGACTTACTACTTCAGAAAGAATAGAAGCCTGGCCCTACCAGTGACTGTAGTGTTAAGATTGTGTGGCATCCCTTCACTTTTCTGAGCCAGTTCCCCACTTAAAATGGACATATTTTGTCCAAAAAGATTTTGCTGGGTAAGCCGTGTGGTTCGGCATTCCTCCATGTCACAGAATCAGGGGAACTGGATAAGTAAATATGGATCTCGGGTCCCACCTAAACTTTCTGAAACATACTTTACATATGTAAGAAAGCCCAGGGCTAGCAAGATGGTTCAGTCTGTGATGAGTAAAGCGGTTGCCACCCAAACTTGATGAGCTGGAACCCATGTTAAGGTGAAGGAAAACTGCACAAGTTGTCCTGTGATCTCCACATGCTTGCCGTGCCCCCCCCCCACCCATTATACAGTAATAGTAAGTTTTAAAAAATTAAAATCCGGGGGCCTGGAGAGATGGCTCAGCGGTTAAGAACACTGGTTGTTCTTGCAGAAGACCCAGGTTCAAATCCCAGCACCCACATGGCAGCTAACAATTGTCCATAACTCCAGTTCCAGGGAATTCGATGACCTCTTCTGTCCTCTGCGTGCATTGCACGACATGGGTGCTCTTACCTACATGCAGGCAATACATTCATACGCATAAAATAAAATATTTTTAAAAATTTAAATCCCATATGATTAGTATAAAAAACAATCACAGGCCCTTAATCTGCCTCCACCCTTGGGAGGCAGAGGCAGGTGGATCTCGGTGAGATCGAAGTCAGACTGGTCCATATAGGGAGTTTCAGCCCAGCCAGGGCTACGTAGTAACCTGGCTCAAAAAAAAAAAAGTTTGTATGCAAACAGAATCCGCCTCCATTTCCTCCAAAACTAGGAAGCAGCACCCATACCCACCCCACACACACAGTCTTCAGTGTACCTTACTTAGCAAGCAAGTGCCTTTCCTGCTCCAAACCTTCAAAGTCCTGCCCTCTACAGGCAAAGACCCCGCCTCTGTGTTTCCGGGTGAAGGATGACATCTGGGGTTGCCAATAACAATTTAGCATTTTTTTCGCCTGCCAGCGAGCGATCTTCGGCTACACCAATAGGACTATTGGTAAAAGTAAGCGACAGCCAAAGTAGCCAATCAACATGAGGCGGGGTAAGGCGGGACTTTGAGTACGGAAGCTGTAGCCGGACACGAGGAAAGGAAAGGGAAGGACCCCGCGGAGGGGCAAAGTAGGCAGGTGAGATGCTAAGAGGTCAGTGACTTGAAGCCTGGTGGGAAAAACAGATTGCGAGTTAAAAAGGGTGCCGAAGGGTTTTGGTCGGTGGGGGAGGGCAGAGAAGGGCCGAGGCCCGGGATAAGGTAGACACTTAAAGGGACAGGTGTCCCAAAGAGAAGAGACGTTTAAAGATGCAGATCCCCTAGGTAGAGCAAATCCAAACCAGTTCGGCAGACGGAAGACATTTAAGGTGGTAGATCTTGGGAGGACAGGACCCTTTAAGCAGAAGAGCCTGGGATTTGAGAACATCCTGACAAGAGACCTGGGTAAAGAAGTCGTTTTTCGAGGACATTGCTAGAGAAGACAGCCTCCCTTTGTGGAGGAGGGTACACTGCTGCCCTCTTCCATTGTCCTTTCTGATTCCTCCAGGTTCCCTTGACCCAGGACTCTGTACTCAGGCTATGGCCTCCAGTGTCCTGTAGACCTGGCGGTTCCTCAGTGCCTGAGGCCCCTATTTTGGGGTCTAGGTGGCTACTGGAGAGCTTTGCAGAAGATCAGAGAGGGCAGGACCATGGCATCTAGGGCCTCTGAACTTCCCCCTGGGCGCAGCGTGACAGCCGGCATAATCGTTGTTGGAGATGAGATCCTCAAGGTGTGTCTGGGACAGAAGAGGGGGAGGGCGAAGCTTTCTCTTGTTAGGTGCTCTCTCCTTTCTTCTGGTGAAGGGAGGTGAACCAGGGTAGGAAGCTTCTTGCTTGCCAAAGTATAGTTCTGAAGTAAGTCCTAACATATTGAAGGAAAAGTGATCTTCCTTTTAATGTGTTCTGCTGTTGAAAGACTTGTTGCAACATCCCTACAAGTTGCCAAGCACTACGGTAGAGGGCAGAGGGGACACAACAGTGACAGGAGGCCGGCAAGTAGAGGAGGCCCAGGATCATATACTATGTATTTAGGAGTTATATCCAACCTGTTTGGAAATGATTCAAGGCACTCAGCAGAGTGGATAAGTGAGCCAAGAAGGAAGGTAAGAATTTGAAGTTTATTCTGTCTGAATTAGAAACAACTTATGTTTTTGAGCCCAAAAGTGATGCACCACCACAGTGACATGTTAGAAAGTTTACTTAGAAGACACACAGAGCAAAGCAGGGTGGCTGGAGGCTAGGAGCTGGCCAGGAGGCTGCCATCATTGTCCAGGTGAAAGGTGTGGAGGACCTGCTTAATGGAAGTGAGAAGACAGAAGATGGGAAGAAATTTCAAAAGTAGAGTTGACAAAATGAAAGGCCAGACTGACTATAGACTGTGTCTGGGATGACAATGACCAAAGTGACAATAGCCAGGAATGTGATAAGGTTGCCCAGTACACACTCAGAGCCAGGGGGCTGAAACTGTTGGGGCTGGTGAGGAAGTTGACAAATCCACACAGAATTAATCATTGAATCTATAAATATATGTGAGGTCAAGATCAATTGATTCTTGAATCTGTAAATACAAGTTAGGTCAGGATCAAAGTATAATGAGAATCCACTCTTCTCTACTCAAATGGATTTTCTCACACTTGCTCTCCATCCAGGCTCCTTGGCATTCGGTCCCCAAAGAACAGAACATCCCATCATTAGACAGGTGTAGCTATCTCCCCCTGCCCTTCATCCCATGCACTGACAATCTCATCTTTTCTCCAACCCCCAGGGACACACTCAAGACACCAACACTTACTTTCTTTGTCGGACACTGCGCTCCCTGGGGGTCCAGGTCTGCCGAGTCTCTGTTGTACCTGATGAGGTAGCCACCATTGCAGCTGAGGTCACCTCTTTCTCCAGTCGCTTCACTTATGTCCTCACTGCAGGGGGCATCGGCCCCACTCATGATGATGTGACCTTTGAGGCAGTGGCACAGGCCTTTGGGGAGGAGCTCAAGCCACACCCTGAGCTGCAAGCAGTCATCAAAACCCTAGGAGGGGAGGGTTGGGAGAAAATGTCATTGGTGCCCTCCTCTGCCCGCCTACATTACGGCACAGATCCTCACACTGGCAACCCATTCAGATTCCCACTGGTCTCTGTCCGAAATGTCTACCTCTTCCCAGGCATTCCGGAACTGCTTCGAAGGGTGCTGGAGGGGCTGAAGGGACTGTTTCAAAACACAGCTGTGCGATTCCACCTGAAGGAACTGTATGTGGCTGCTTCTGAGGGCTCTATTGCCTCCATCCTAGCTGAGGCCCAGGCCCACTTTGGGCATAGGCTTTGCCTGGGTTCCTATCCTGACTGGGGCAGCAACTACTATCAGGTGAAGCTGACTCTAGACTCTGAAGAAGAGGAGCCGTTGGAGGAATGCCTGGCCTATCTGACTGCCCATCTGCCCCAAGGATCGTTGGTCCCCTACCTGCCCAATGCTGTGGAGCAGGCTAGTGAGGCTGTGTACAAACTTGCTCAGTCAGGTAGGGGTCTCCTGGTTGAAGGGCAGCATAGACCAGAATACTGGTGCCTGCTCTAGGTCTAATAACAAAGGGCTTGTAGAGGGCTTCCCATAAATCCAGGAAAGAGTAGATGATAGCTGCTTTGATCCATTCATTCCAATAACTATTGATTACTCCTTTGACCAGCACTGTGGCTGGGTGTTACGGTTATAACTTGTCAGAACAGGTATTCCCTGCTTTCAGAAGAAATGATTCAACAAAAAAAGTTATCCAAGTAAGCTAGTGATTGTGCATGCAATTTGAATATGAAACAAATTCAGCAGAGAGACAGCTTTGAGGTCTGAGAAGGCTTCTCTGGACAAGTGATTAGGATTTGGTTGGATCAGGAGTTGGGCAAGAGCAAACTATGAAAGCAGGCCCATGCCTTTACTCCCAGCACTTGGGAAGCAGAGGCAAGTGGATCTCTGTGAGATCAAGGCCAGCTTGGTCTGCATAGTGAGTTCCATGCCAGCTGGGGCTACAGGGAAACCCCGTCTCAAAAAAAAAAAAAAAAAAAAAAAAAAAAGAGGCCCGGAAGGAAGCAGCATGGGGCTGCAAAGGATGAAGGAAACCAGGGCACCCCGTACTCCTGCTCCCCCAGTTCCTGCCCTGCAGAGCCTGAAACCAAGGTCAGGTGAGGTGGGACAGAGTAGCAGGGGGTAGGGGTGGAGTGAGGGGGCGGACAGCAAAGAACACAGGACAGCATGAGAGAGTTTGAACTTAACCCTATGAATACTGGGAAGATAGTGAAATTTTTTTAAGCAAGGACAACGTGACGTCTTTGACAGCCAGGGATACCTGTTTGATGCCTTCTTCCCTGCCTGCACGGCAGGGTCTTGTCTGGGGAAAAAGGTAGCAAGTGCTCTGCAGACCATTGAGACTGCCCTGGCTCAGTACCACCTCAACCAGCTCTGTGTGGGCTTTAATGGAGGCAAAGACTGCACAGCCCTCCTACACCTCTTCCATGCAGCCGTGCAAAGGTAAGCCTATCCCTGAGAGATAAGGCCTCAAAGATGCCTACTCAAAACTCCTCTAGCTCCCATCCCAGATGCACAGGTGGGACTTGGGAGGAAGGTGGCCATGTGACCTCACAGTTCTGTTTTCCTACTATATTTATTGAACATCTGACATGTGTCTGATTCTGGGTCTAGATGTGTCATCAATCATCCCCCACCGCAGGGAAGTCATAATCCAGCTGGGGAAGTGGGATTTTACCAGAAATTTCATATTACACTGTGTTCAGTGATACATGCTTTTAATCCCAGCACTTGGGTGGCAGAAGTAGGCTGATCTCTGAGAGCGAAGCCAGCCTGGTCTACATAGCAAGTTCCAGGCAGACCAGCAGGGGCTACAGGAAGACCCTGTCTCAAAAAAAGAAAAAGAAAAACATCTCTTGTTGCCTGATGTGGCCGTCCCAGCCGTGGGGAGGAGAATGCAGGAGAGTAATCTGAGCGCAGGAGCTGAGACCAGCCTGAGCATCAGAGTGAAATTATGCCTTTAAAATTTTTTTTAACTTATTTTTATGTGTATGAGTGTTTTGCCTACATGTAAGTGCACCTGTGCATGCAGGACTTGCAGAGTTACTGACAGCTGTTAGTCACCACGTGGGAACTGGGAACCGATCCCTGGTCATCTGCAAGAGCAGCCAGTGCTTTTAACTGCTGAGCCATTTCTCCAGCTCCCCTGCAAGATCATATCCTAAAAAAAAAGTCTCAGGCTGGGAATGGTGACTCTGGCCTTTACTCCTAGCAGAGGCAGAGGCAGAAGGATCTCTGAATTCAAGGCCAACCAGGTCTCCTCAGTGAGTTCCAAGACAGCTAGAGCTACATAGTGAGACCCTGTCTCAAAAAAAACAAACTCCTAACAAATGTTTCTCAGGTTTGAGGTCAGGCAAACTGGCACATACCTGTAATCCTAGTACTTGGGGCTAAAGTAGAAAGATTGCAGATTTGAGATCAGCCTGGGCAATATAGGAAGATCCTGACTCAAAAAAATAGATCAGAGTGGCTTCTCAGAGGAAATGAGTTTGGGATATTGGATGGAAGGATAAGGGAAGGAGAGAAAGGGTGGATATTGATCCTGGGGCCAAAGAAGAATAGTGAGCTCTCTGGAGTGCCATTTCCTGTCCATACTGGCAAGCCTATGGATTTTTACCCTCCCCAGGAAATCTCCTGATGTTCCAAAACACCTCCAGATCCTGTATATCCGTTGCATCTCCTCCTTTCCTGAGCTGGAACAGTTTCTACAGGACACCATCAAGAGGTATGAGGGGCCTGGAGGTTTGGGCTTCAAGAGGGCCTTGGAAGAACTGACCCTCATCTCTGTTTTCTTCCTTCCTAAGGTATAATCTGCAGGTATTAGAGGCTGAGGGTGACATGAAGCAGGCCCTGAGTAAGCTGAAGGAACAGCACCCCCAGCTGGAGGCTGTCTTGATGGGCACTCGCCGGACTGACCCCTACTCCTGTAGCCTCTGTCCTTTCAGTCCAACTGACCCTGGCTGGCCTTCCTTCATGCGCATCAACCCACTGCTGGTAAAGAGAGGACTGATTGCCTCAGGTCTCCTGTGCTCTCTGTTACTGCACTCTTGCTCACTGGGAGAAGGCTAGAGCCTAGGACAAAGGGGCCCCATCTCCCAAGGGAGGCAGTGCTATTTGTTTATTCATCCTTTCAACCAATATTATTGAGCACTAATTCAGTGGCAGGCATTGTGCTTCTATGGTTGACAACTGACCTGGGCCTGTGCTGTCCAATACAATAGTAGCCATTTGTTCACATTTAAATCATAATTAAAATGAAATACAAATAACAGGGCTGAGGATATAGCTCATTTGATATAGTACTTGCCTAGTATGACTGAAGTCCTGGGTTCAGTCCTCAACACTGCATAAAATCATGCATGTTCTTCAGGCATGGTGGCGTATGCCTTTAATCCCAGCATTCCAGAGGCAGAGGCAGGGAGATCTCTGAGATCAAGGCTAGCTTGATCTGCATACCAAGTTCTAAGACCAGCTGGAGCTACAGGGAGAACCTGTCTCAAAACACCTGGGGGTGCGGAGAGTACTGCCAGGCACGATGGCACACACCTTTAATACCAGCACTCAGGAGGCAAAGGCATGGGGATCCTATGAGTTCAATGCCAGCCTGGTCTACATAGTGAGTTCCAGGCCAGCTGAGCCTTCAGGGACACACCCTGTCTCAAAAAGACCTCCCCCACCCTCAAAAAAAAAGAAAGAAATACAAAGTACTAAAATCATTGAGAGACTGAGGAAGGAGGATCTTATGGATTTGGGTCCAGCCTTGTCTGCATAGTGATTTCCTAGGCCAATTTGAGCCTCAGTGAAGCCCTGTCAAAAAAGCAAAACCAAAGCCCTGATATACTTTGAAAAACCAAAGCCTATATACTTGGAAACAGTAAAATTTATGGTATGTGATTCATAATGCCTGCATTTAAATCTAATTTTTTAAAAATCAGTTCTTTGGGTGGGGCTGCAGCTTAGCAGGTAAAGTGCTTCCCTGGCATGCACAGAGCCCTGGGTTCAGTCCCTAGCACCCCGTGGCCCAGCCCAGCTGCCACCTACTTCCTTCTATTTCACCACTCCAGGTACATACTACTGGGAAGTCAGGAGTGGCACACACCTGTAATCCCAGCATCCAGGAGGTGGACGCAGGAGGAATAGAAGTTCAAGGTCATTCTCAACTATATTGTGTGCCTAAAGCCAGTGGGATACTTGAGAAATTGAAAAAAAAAAAATCAGTTCTTCAAGCCTGGTATAGTAGTGCACACCTGTATTCCCAGCATAGGCAAGGTCTCATTATGTAGCCCTGGCTGGCCTTGAACTCAAAGAGTTAAATGCCTACATCAACATCCCAAGTGCTGAGATTAAAATGTATGCCGCTGCGCCTGACTGTCTTTGTTTTGTTTTAATTTGTTTTTATTGAATTTTTGTGTATTTCATACAGAACATCTCAAATAATCATCTTTATACACCTGTCCCCACCAGCACCCTCCCATAGCCTCACTCACACTGGAACCCATATACTCTGTCATCCATGTTAAGGCCCACTGTGTCAAGAAGTCAGTGTTCCTAGATGCTCCCCAGTGCAAGTCCATCCACTGAGGAGACCCTGTCTCCTGAGAGAGAGAGAAGGAAGGGGGAGAAAAATAATTATTTAATTGTACTAGCCACATTTCAAATGATCACCATATTAGATAGCAGAGAGATAGAACTTTTCCTGACAGTACTGACTTGGACACTAGTCCTTCCCTGTCCTCCTGGAATGTATGCCACGGTGGAGGGTGGCTGGGGAATGCAAAGTGGCAGCAGGTGCAGACCTTCCGTCTCACACAGAGCAAGACATATCAGAATCAGGGAGCAAGCCTTCTTCAGGGCCAGGGGAACAAAAGAGCCCTTGATGGGCCAGTGGTAGGTAGATGAAGGGAGCGCTGGTAACAGAATCTCATTTCTCAGGACTGGACCTACAGAAACATCTGGGACTTTCTGCGTCAGTTGTTTGTCCCATACTGTATCCTGTATGACCGAGGGTAAGGTTGTTGGTGAGGGGGAAGATGAGAGGGTGCTGGGATAGGGAGAGCCCACCCACTACCCACTTTGCTTCTGTTCTGCCACTCCAGGTACACATCACTGGGGAGTCAAGAGAACACAGTGCAGAACCCATCCCTGAAGTGCCTGAGCCCAGGAGGGCACCCCACCTACCGTCCAGCATATCTGCTGGAGAACGAAGAGGAAGAGCGGAACTCCCGAAAGTGATCTCACACTCAATGCGGGGAAGGGGCTGGCCTGGGGTGTAACCTGTCAGTAAACTGCCTGTCACACCATTGTGCCTGTTGCTCTGGCTATACCTTCCTGCTTCAAGGGTCAGGGGAGGTGGAAGTGGGCCAGGGCTGCTGTGTTCTCTCAGGCCAGGGAGGGTGGGGATGAGGGGGTAGAACAGTCTAGAAAGGAGTTCTCATGGATGATTCCCAGTGTTAGCTTCAGCCAGAGCCTACCAGAGGGGAGGAACAGGCAACTAATAGGAACAGGGCAACCAGGCAGAGCACCCCCTGAGCCAGGAGAAAGGGAAGCTGAGCCTCCTTCCTGCCTATGGAGGATGAAAGATGGAGTGGCCAGGCCCTCCCTTCTCACCTCCCACATCCCTGTCCATAGGGCTGACTCAGCCTGTTCCAGGATCCAGAACCTTCCTTTGCTAGACCCTGGGGCCTTTGTCTCTAGTCATGAGGCCTGAGGGGGCAGGGACAGTGGATCAAAGGCCTCATGGCAGCTTCCACACCCTTCCTTTGAGCTTCTACCCACATGCTGCCATGGATACAGTCCCTAGCCCAGGCCCTGCCCTTCTCTCTTTGGGTTGCCCTGAGAGGCTCTGGTCCCCGGGTGCCTGTCATCAAGATGGGCACGGGGTTGGAGGGCCTGCAGCAAACCCTGAAGGAAGTAGCCTACATCCTCCTCTGCTGTGGCTGTATCAAGGAACTGCTGCATTAGTGGTGACAGGGAATTGCCTCCTCTCCTGGCACCACTCAGGTGGGCAGGGTAAGGCAGACAGACAGGAGGTGTGGCCATAGATAGCTTCTGTGGTTGAGCCTGCTTCCTAGCCCTCCCGTCTTTTCTATAGCCCCAGGAAGACTCCTGGATCCAGCCAGACTTAGCCAAGGATGAGCCACCAAATGAACAGGGAAGTATGGATCCTGCTTTGATTGTTCATCTGTCAGACTTGCCTCTTCTCAGGGTATCCATTCCCAGCCCCTGACTCTGGTAGACTTCTAATGGGTGGAAGTTGGTATGCTGGCTAAGACCCCATTCCAATTATAGCAGGACCCAATAGTCCTCCAGGCTTGATACAGTGAGTCCTCCAACCCAGACAATCTTACCGTGCACTTTGTAATACTGGGAATGGGAATGCCCCTAAGATCTCTGATAATCACTAAAGTACAATAAATAGTCCTTGAGACAAGAAGTTCTAAATGTCTAAAGGGGAGTGAAAACAAGTGCACAGAATGGGCTTTGGAGTCAGAGCACAGACCAAGGTGTGAAGGAGGTAGCTCGGGTAGACATGAGGCTGAAACCAGGACAGCTGACTTCTGGCACTGGGTTTCCAAGTAGAAGATGTGGTCTAGGCAGCTCCCTGTCTCTGGGGAGCTTGGGGAAAGGGCTGAGCTAGTCCCCAGGTCATGGAGGAAGAAGGCCCACGAGCTGCAAGAACTCCTAGTACACACACAAAGCTAGAAGAGAAAAGCATCTGTGTGGTCACAGGGCCCTCAGGCCTACCCATAAATACCTGTTAGGATACAAACAGCCTGAGTGAGTAGACTGATTCCTCACTTTCCTTTAGCACCACCAAAATCATGCCTAGTGGTCCATATATATGTACAGCCCTCACAACCTCAAAGGCAGTCACAGCTTTTATTCTACTTCCTTGGGATTAGTACTCCCTGGCCTAGATATTACCCACCTCCCATTCTTAGCAAGAACTTGACCTGGAGGTGGCATATAAATCTCTCCCTGGAACCAGATCTTCCTCAGCCTTTTTTTTAGTTAACTCCTTTTTCGCTCTTATTTATTGTCGGTGTTTGGTTGATTGAGTTTCGATGTTGGGGACCGAACTTAGGGCTTCGAACATAAATACACTGTCCCCTGGCCGGGTGTGGTGGTGCATGCCTTTAATCCCAGCACTCCAGAGGCAGAGGCAGGCAGATCTCTGTGAGTTCAAGGCCAGCCTGGTCTATGTAGCAAGTTCCAGGCCAGCTGGGACTACAGGGAGACCCTGTTTCAAGAAAACCGAAAAATAAAAATAAAACTTTAAAAAATTAATATAAAAACCAGCCTAAGTGCTGAGACAGGAGTATCACCAGTATAAAGCTAGTCTGCTCTATACAGAGACAGTGTTGACTCAAAAAAATAAATAAGGCTGGGGCTGTAGCTCAGTAGTAGAGTGCTGCTTGCCTGGCATGCTCAAGGCCCTGCAATCCCCAGCAAACTGTGTTGGGCGGGGTGTAGAGTGTTTGCTATGATAATATATCCCTGGAGTGAAGAATTCTAAGAATGTTCGGCATAGTGGTTCATGCCTATATTCCCAGCTCTTAGAAGGCTGGGGCAAGAGGACTGCCTCAAGTTCCAGGCCAGCCTGGGCCACAGAGTGAAACTGATTCAACAAACAAACTCAGTAACAAAAAATTTTAATAGCAAAAGGTTTTTGTTTTGTTTTTTAACTAAAATGATGGTTTTTAATGGAAACCAGAGGTATGGTTACAATTACTGTAATCTGACACACACAAAAAAAATCCATGGGCAATCAGGAATTGGAAGATTACAAAATAACAAGGATAACACTAAATATAGGAAGAAAAGGTGTTCCAGAATTTCAGGAGCCAGACTAATACGGCCTCTCCCTGAGATCCTGTCTGTGCTCACTCCTTGAGTCCATCTTGCCAGGGCCAAAGCTACTTCTGTCCCCACCTCCCCAGCCCCCTCGGAAGTCCCTGCCTTGGCCTCGGTAGCCACCCCATCATCTCCTCTGCCACGTCGATCATCTCCATAGTTAACCCCCATATGAAAGCCTCCTGGGCCATCTGGTTTAGGGGCCTTACACTGGTTGCATTCATTTCTCCAAGAGAAGTTCATGTTCTCACATGTCGGATTAGGACACTTCCAGTCCCCAGCTCGCTGTTGTCCGCCACCACCACCTCTTCTACTGGGGAATCCTCCATGGCTGCCGCCACCATTCCTCCTCTGTAGCCTCCACGGCCCACGGGTCCTCCTCACCCTCGGCCTCCATGACCATTTCCACCACCCCGATTGAAGTCTGCTCAGCATGTAGCAAATGAGACCTTGATAGGATTCCCAGAAAATACCGTCAAACCAGTCAATAGCTGCTTTAGCAGAAGGTGGGTCATCAAATGAGACTGTTGCTTCAGCCTTCAGCTTGCCAGTTTCCCTGTCCGTGTACAAATTAATCATGGGCTCTCCGGTTTTCTTATTTGTCTTGATAATTCCAATCTGCTTGAAGTAATAAGCCACAGATTCTATTGTAACATTTTTGCCCAGGCCTTGTACAAAGATGGTATTGTTATCTGAATTATCCTGCTCAGAATCATGACGTGATCCTTGATCCCGAGGGTCACCAAATTTATTGAAGCCACCACGGTCACTTCCACCCATGCCACCTGTGCCTCCACGGCCACCTCCATGACCTCTGGGTTCATAGCCACCACCGCTGCAATTGTAACCACGTCCACCGTCCCTGCCATGGCCCCCACGGTCCTGCTGGCCTCCCCCAGTAGCCACCACCGCCGCCACCACTCTGGTCCTGATTGCCATAACCACCACTGCCACCACCACTCATGGAGGACTGATCTTGGCCATAATTGCCTCCACCCCTTCCACCACCTCCACTGCTACTGTTATACTGGTTCTGCTGTCCATAGCCCTGAGGAGGATTATAGGAGCTCTGTTGCTGTCTGTAGTGCTGTTGCTGTCCACCACAGCCCGACTGTTGGCCATAGCCTCCACCCTGGGGCTGCCCATAGCTGCTGCTCTGAGAGCTGCCACCGTAACTTCCTGAAGTGCTGCTAGGAGCTGGTTGCTGGCCATAGCCAGGATAGGAGGACTGTTGTCCATAAGAAGATTGGGAACTCTGGCTACTGCCATAGCCTCTAGTGGAACCATATCCCTGGGGAGTCGACTGAGTGCCACAGCCTGTGTTCTAGGTCTGTAGATAAGACCCATAGCTGCTCTGGCCATATCCACTGTAACTCTGCTGTCCATAGGGCTGATTGCTCTGTTGGGAGTAACCCTGCCCAGGCTGGGTAGGGTAGGCCCCACATGTTTGAGTTGATTGTTGGGTATAGTCATTTGAAGCCATGTCCGTGCATGCGCGCAGAGACCCAGCAAGATTCCAAGTCGCCGGAGCGCAGCTGCTTCAAGGAGTGAGTTAGCAAAAGGTTTTGTACATCCTATTCTCCCAAGCCCCCAGGTCCCTGTAGATAGTCATGGTTACTGACTTCTTGGAGAACATTCTAAAGACAGTGTTTGCAAAGATTGTATCTTCATTCATTCAACAAACATTACTAGTATATATCAGTCTGGTGCTTTGGATACAACAGGGAAGAGATTCCTATACTTGGAGAGCATATACATTCTAGGAGGAGGGAAACCTCTACAAACTATTAACCTTTAACTATATAAATATTAAGTGATGGGGGGAAAAAGAAAAAAGTTGAGCTGGGGGCAAATGTGGGGCAAGTCATGAAAGATCTAAGTCAGAACCTGAGCTTTTATGCTGAGTGAAATGAGAAAGTAAAGTGAGGTGTTAAACACAAACTGATTTGGGTTTTAGCTGAATGTTTTTTTACATTTATTTAAAAGGTTCACAGTGGTCACTGTGTTGAGAATGGACTGTAGGAAATAAGGGTAGACTATGAGAGGTCCATTAAAGTAACAAGTAGACTATAGGCCAGATAGACTAGTGGCTCAGATCAGACCTGAGGAGAGAGGGGCTGGGTTCCCTGACGGGTTTGTTTTTGTTTTCTTTTTTAAATTTGATTTGGTTCTTTTGAGACAGGGTCTTAATATATAGGCCAAGTTGGCCTTGAAACTAATGGCTATCCCCCTGCCACAGCCTCCTTAAAGCTGAGATTACAAGCATGAGCTACCATGACTGGTTTTGGACTTCTGTGTTTATTCTTCATAGCTGGTTAACAAACCCCGGCTTCCCTCAAGCTTGTGCTAATCCTGCTTCAGCCTCCCCAGTCCTGGGATTACAGGCATGAGCTACCATCTAAACATCGGCAACATACAGGTCAGAACTGTTGCCTGGTTCCTTCTGAGCCCTCTCTCTTGCTCCAGAGCGCAGCACAGAGAAGGGGTAAGGTCTAACATCAAGCAGGGAGAGGTTAGTGTGGGCAGTCAGCTTTCACCTTCCCATTGAACCTGGAGCTCTCCTTTTCTTCATAGCTTGCACCCTGCCTGGCTAGCTCTCGCCCTTCCCCAACTCAGCCCTGGCCTGCTGCCTTTTTTCCCTCTCTTAGGCCCCACTCCCATTAAAGCAGTGTCTAGAGGTGGAATGCAGAGTCTGAGGTCTGAACTTGAAGGCTTTAGCCAAAGGAGGGGATGTTTGGCAAAAACTACTGGGGAAGTGGTGAGTGGAGGAAGGCAGAGTCCAAGGCTCTGTATTGTGGTGGGGAGCTGGGGTAGAGAGAGGAATAAAGACTAACAGAAGCCAAAGCAGACCAGCAGCTTGAAAATGAGCCTTCACAGTGGAAAAACTTCAGAAAGATGAATTACAAAAGCTCATATACTATCTGAAAACCCTTTCCATGGTATATAATGTGTTGACTCTCAACAAAAGTTTATTTCAAGCTGAGTGTGGTAACTAATACTTATAATTCAGTACTTGGGAGTTGAAGACAGGGGGATTACCCCCACTTTGAGGTTAACCTGGACTACACAGTGAGTTCAAGACCAGTCTTGAGACTGACCTGTCTCAAGAAAAAAAAAAAAAAAAATTTGAAGTACACAGTGGTTAAAAACTCTTGTTCTGCTCTTCTAGAAGACCTGGGTTCAGTTCCCAGCACCCATATCAGGAGACTCACAACTGCCTGTAACTCTAGTTCTAGGGGATTTGACACCTCTGGCTCCCTCAGGTACCTGTATGCGTGAAGTGCACGTAAAACTCATGTAGACACACACACACACACACACATTTTAAGTACATCTCACTGGATGTGGTGGCACACTCAGGAGGCAGAGGCAGGCAAATCTCTGTAAGTCTGAAGATAAACTGGCCTACATAGTGAGACCCTGTCTCAAAAAACTAAACAAAAAACAAAGAAGTCTACCTCAAGGCCAGCAAGATGACGCAGTGAGTAAAGATGCTTGCTGCCAAGCCTGATAACCTGAGTTTAATCTCTAGGACAGACATGGTAGAAGAAGAGAACCAACTCTCAAAAGTTGTCCTCTGACCTCTATATATGTACACACGCACACACACACAAATACTATTTCTTTAAAAAATTTTAGGGGGGCTGGAGAGATGGCTCAGCAGTTAAGGACACTGGTTGTTCTTGCAGAAGACCTGAGTTTGAATCCCAGCTGTGTTTAGGGCTTCCCACTTGGGATTAGATAACCTCTCAGGGAGTTAGTCCCTGGAGAAAACTGATTCTCCCTCCCTCCACATCCATTCATTGCCTATAGCTTTTCATCTTGAATTGGGACCCCATGAAATTTTCCCCACCCAACTTAGCATGTCAACTGTTCTTGTTGTTAAGCAGATCTTGTTAGACTACATGCTAAGGGGATTTCATTGGTGCGGCTTTCCTATCCTGTCTGGAATGCACTGACTAGCACCCAGTGCCTTGTCCCTCTTGTATGTGCTTCTTCATCTAATATCTGCAAAGAAGTTCCTTAAAAAAATATGAAGCAACATTTGGAGCTGGAGAGATGGCTCAGCGGTTAAAAACACTGGTTGTTCTTGCATAAGACCCGGGTTCGAATCCCAGCACCCACATGGCAGCTAAAAATTGTCTGTAACTCCAGTCCCAGGGGATCTGACAGCTTCTTCTGACCTCCGCAGGCATTGCATGACACGGGTGCACTTACGTACATGCAGGCAATACACACACATAAATAAAAATTTTAAAGTACATTTCAAAAGTAACCAGACTGGGTGTGGTGACTCATGCTAGTACTCAAGAGGCTGAGGCAGGAGGATTGCAGTCAGTTCAGGACTATCCTAGGTGACAGAGTGAGACCCTGTCTCATAAAACCAAATAACAGAGGCTTAGTGGTTAAGAGCATTGGCTGCTCTTGCACAGGAGCTAGATTCAGTTCCCAGCAGCCACATGGCAGCTAACACCTGTCCTTAACTGCAGTTCTAGGGGATCCAACACCTTTTTCTGGCCTCTGTAAGCATTGCATGCACAGATGCACTTGAATGCAGGCAAACACACACATAAATAAAAAACAACAAAGGAAACACATACACAAAAGTAAGCAAGATAAGAGTAATCAGGCTGGGCATGGTGGCATACACCTTTAATCCCAGCACTTGGGAGGCAGAGGCAGGCATATCTCTGAGTTTAAGGCCACCCTGGTCTACATAGTGAGTTGAGGCTA